GAAAACTTCCCCTACCTGGTGAAAGAAATAGACTAACAACTCCAGGAAGCACAGAGAACCCCAAACAAAAGGAATCCAAAGAGGACCACACCAAGACACATCATCATTAAAATGCCAAGAGCAAAAGACAAAGAGAGAATCTTAAAAGCAGCAAGAGAAAGAAACTCAGTTACCTACAAGGAAATACCCATACGACTGTCAGCAGATTTCTCAACAGAAACTTTGCAGGCCAGAAGGGAGTGGCAAGAAATATTCAAAGTGATGAATACCAAGAACCTACAACCAAGATTACTTTATCCAGCAAAGCTATCATTCAGAATTGAAGGTCAGATAAAGAGCTTCACAGATAAGGAAAAGCTAAAGGAGTTCATCACCACCAAACAGTATTATATGAAATGCTGAAAGGTATCCTTTAAGAAGAGGAAGAAGAAGAAAAAGGTAAAGATACAAATTATGAACAACAAATATGCATCTATCAACAAGTGAATCTAAGAATCAAGTGAATAAATAATCTGATGAACAGAATGAACTGTTGATTATAATAGAATCAGGGACATAGAAAGGGAATGGACTGACTATTCTTGGGGGGGAAAGGGGTGTGGGAGATTCGGGAAGAGACTGGACAAAAATCGTGCACCTAAGGATGAGGACAGTGGGTGGGGGGAGTGAGGGCGGAGGGTGGGGTGGGAACTGGAAGGAGGGGAGTTATGGGGGGGGAAAAAGAGGAACAAATGTAATAATCTGAACAATAAAGATTTAATTTAAAAAAATAGATCTAGAGACAGAGAAGCATTTATCAGATACTCAAACCTCAGAGGGAAGGCAGGGGAGGGTGGGGCTAAGGGGGAGAGATCAACCAAAGAACTTGTATGCATGCATATAAGCATAACCAATGGACACAAACACCAGGGGATGAGGGCATGAGTAGGGGGATGGGGGAGAATAGGGGATAAGGACACATTTGTAATATCTTAATCAGTAAGGGAAAAAAATAAGTACTCCTTATAACTTAGCTCAACATATTGAATACAAACATCATTGGCTTAGGGTACAATTTCAGGGTTACCTGCCACTGCATTCGTTTCCTAGGGCTGCCATAACATATTATCACCGGCTGGGTGGCTTAACACAACAGGAATGTATTCTCTCACAGTTCTAGAATTCCAAAATCCAGAGGTTGGCTTGGTTCCAAAATCACAGGTGGGTTTCTTCTTGGGTGCTCAGGACAATCTGTTCCTTGCCTCTCTCCCAGCATCTAGTGGTGGCCAACAGTCCTTGGCAGTAATCCTTGGTTTGCAGCTGCCTAAATCCAGTCTCTGCCTCTGTCACATGGCCGCCTTCTCGGTGTGTGTCTCCCGGGCGGTGTGTGTCTGTCTCTGTTTCTTCTCTTCTTATAAGGACACCAGTCATGTTGGATTAAGGGCCCACTTCTACTCTAGTATGACTTGATCTTAACGTACATCTTAATTACACCTACAAAGACCCTATTGCTAAGTAAGGTCACATTCACAGGTATCGGGGATTAGGTCTTCAACATATCTTTTTTTTTTTTAATTAAATCTTTATTGTTCAGATTATTACATTTGTTCCTCTTTTTTCCCCCCATACTTCCCCTCCACCTGGTTCCCCTCCCACCCTCCGCCCTCACACCCCCACCACTGTCCTTATCCATAGGTGCATGATTTTTGTCCAGTCTCTTCCCACACCCCCACACCCCTTTCCCCCCCCCTCCAAGAATAGTCAGTCCACTCCCTTTTTATGTCCCTGATTCTATTATAATCACCAGTTTATTCTGATCATCAGATTATTTATTCACTTGATTTTTAGATTCACTTGTTGATGGATGTGTATTTGTTGTTCATAATTTGTATCTTTACCTTTTTCTTCTTCTTCCTCTTCTTAAAAGATACCTTTCAGCATTTCATATAATACTGGTTTAGTGGTGATGAACCCCTTTAGCTTTTCCTTATCTGTGAAGCTCTTTATCTGACCTTCAATTCTGAATGATAGCTTTGCTGGATAAAGTAATCTTGGTTGTAGGTTCTTGGTATTCATCACTTTGAATATTTCTTGCCACTCCCTTCTGGCCTGCAAAGTTTCTGTTGAGAAATCTGCTGACAGTCGTATGGGTATTTCCTTGTAGGTAACTGAGTTTCTTTCTCTTGCTGCTTTTAAGATTCTCTCTCTGTCTTTTGCTCTTGGCATTTTAATGATGATGTGTCTTGGTGTGGTCCTCTTTGGATTCCTTTTGTTTGGGGTTCTCTGTGCTTCTAGGACTTGTAAGTCTATTTCTTTCACCAGGTAGGGGAAGTTTTCTGTCATTATTTCTTCAAATAGGTTTTCAATATCTTGCTCTCTCTTCTTCTTCTGGCACCCCTATAATTCGGATGTTAGTATGCTTGAAGTTGTCCCAGAGGCTCCTCACACTATCTTCGTATTTTTGGATTCTTTTTTCATTTTGCTTTTCCGGTTGGGTGTTTTTTGCTTCTTCGTATTTCAAATCTTTGACTTGATTCTTGCGCTCCTCTGGTCTGCTGTTGGGGGTCTGTATAATATTCTTTATTTCAGTCAGTGTATGCTTAATTTCTAGTTGGTCCTTTATCACAACATCAAGGGTCTCACTAGATTTCTTGAGGGTCTCATTAAGTTTATCGGCAGTTTCTAGAAAATTCTTGAAAAACCTTAAAAGTGTGGTTTTGAACTCTATATCCAGTAGTTTGCTTTCCTCCATTTCTGTCATTTGTGTCCTGTTTCTTTGTCTCGGCATTTTTTATGCTTCGCTGTGTCGATAGAGTGGCTTTCAGTGCTAAGTGTCCTTTAGGGCCCAGTGGCTCAGCCTCCCCAATTACCTGAGGTGGACACTCTTGGTGCACCCCTTGTGGGCTTTGTGCACCGTCTTGTTGTAGTTAAGCCTTGATTGTTGTAGGTAACACTGGGAGGAATTGACCTCCAGGCCAATTGGCTGTGAGAATCAGCTGTGTCTATGGTGGGAGAACTTCTGTGCTGAAGACACCTTTATGGGGCAAGACTTGCTTCAATGGGGCTTTGATGCTCACTGAGTCTGCCCCCTGAGTGTGTCCCTTATGGATCTGAGGAGTTGTAATTGGATGGTCCCACTCTGACCACTTGGTACACTGGCTCTTGGATCTAAGGAGGTGCTAATCTAGCCTCTGCCTGAGGCTGTCCAGCAGAAGCCAGCTGTAAAGCAATGCAAGTTGCCTGGGGCCTTGGGGCAGCTGCAATTTGTTAAGTAATTTTCAGATTACAAAGGGCCAGGCCTTTCATATGCAAAAGCCTCCATGCACGGCTTGGGCAGGGCGGGGACCCAGGGTATCAACAGGGCGGGCAGAGCAAGCAGTATGGCTGCTCTCAGTCCTGCCCTCAGAGGCCCTAGCAATCCCTGTGAGTGCCTCAGAGAGAAAGCTGCCCTTGAGTTCCAACTGATGCCAGACAGTCCAGTTTCTCCCCGTATGAGTCTGGGTCCCCAGAGACTCGCCCGGAACTGGAGCTCAGAGCTTGAGACTCCCTCCCGATTGAAAAAGACAGTCGTGAACTCAGCCGCCAGCCCTCTCCGCATGCACCTCCGCACCTTTGTATTTACTTCAGCACCGCATCACCCCTGAGTCTCGGTATGCTTTTCTCTTTCCTTCTAGTTGTAGAATTTCCACTCAGCCAGCTTTCCTGTGGTTCTGGATGATGTCCGTTCCGTCTTTTAGTTGTATTTTTGAAGTGGTTGTGCGAGGCAGCAATCTCTGGTGTTTACCTATGCCGCCATATTGGTTTCTCCTCAACATATCTTGTATATATATACTAGTAGCCCTGCGCATGAATCCGTGTGCCAGTAGCTCGCTGCCACCCCCCTGTAACTCCCTCTGCTCCCTGCCGCCCTCTCCTCATAGCTTGCTGCCCTGCCCCCTCCTGTAGCTCTCTGCCACCTGCTTGTAGCTCGCTACCCCACCCTCCTGCTAATCCGTGATCCGGTCATTACGCAGTTGGTCATTACGTAACGACTATTTGCATATTACATCTTTATTACATAGGACTAGGGTTCCAGTGCATGAATTCATGCACCATGAAAGGAATTCTGGGCCATGAGGCTGTGGTAGACACAGGAGTGGGTCTCAGCCCTTCCTCCGTGCCCCCGCCCGGCCCCTCCCACCATGGCCCCCAGCCCTCTGTCTGCCGGAAGCCCCGCTCCCATTGCTGCTCCCACGCGCTGACGGCGTGGAGTAATTGGAGCCAGCGCCAGCAGCGGATGCAAGGGAGGTTGCTGCCCCGATCGCCCCTCAGGGGCAATTGGGGCCGGGAGCTACCGCTCACACCCACTGATAGTGCCAAGTGATCAGGACCAGTGCTGGGCACTGGCATTGGGTGCGAGGGGGGCCAGCACCAGCAGCAGGTGCGAGCGCTGGGTGGGATCACAGCACGCGGGAGCGAAGAATTTTCAGTAACCACCAGAGGCTCGCCCCAATGACAGCAAACGGCACCCCACCTTGGTCTGGCTGACCCCCCAACCATGGCCAACACCTACCATGTTCTGCACATGCCCCCTGGTGGTCAGTGCACATCATAGCAACCAGTTGTTGGATTGTTCCGGTTGTTCCGCTGTTCGGTCTACATATATATATATATATATAGAGAGAGAGAGAGAGAGAGAGAGAGAGAGAGAGAGAGAGAGAGAGAGAGAGAGACACTTCACAGAGGAAGGGAGAGGGGGAGATAGAAATATCACTGATGAGGTAGAAGGAAAGAGAGACAGAAACATCAATGATGAGGGAGAGAATCATTCATTGGCTGCTTCCTGCACACCCCACACTGGGGATCAAGCCTGCAACTCGGGCATGTGCCCTTGCCGGGAATTGAACTGTGGTCTCCTGGTTCATAGGTCAATACTCAGCCAGTGAGCCACACCAGCCAGGCAATATATCCTTTCTGATGGAGCAGTAGTTTAACCCATAACAACACTAACAAGGTTCTCTTCTGTTCCCCCTCCGCCCCAGGCGCCATATGTACCATGGCCCTCGTGTCAGCTGATTCCCGCATCGCAGAACTTCTCACCGAGCTCCATCAGCTGATCAAACAAACACAGGTAACAGGCCACAGCCCTCCATTCCTACAGGGGAACATGGGCTGTGATGCGGAGCTCTGGAGTGGCGGGTGGGGTTGTGTTCAGAGAGATTGGAGGGGAGGACCCAAGATGATGTCATGAAGGTGAGAGGAGGGCAGGACTACCATTCCTGTTGGGTTATCCATCGTGTGAGATATTAATTCACATGCCTTACAGTTCACCCATTTAAAGTCTATAATTCATTTGTTTTTAGTCTATGCAAAGAGCCGTGCAACTATCACCATGACCAACTTCAGAACATTTTACCCCATATCCAATAGCCATTATTCCTTTCTCCTTCCACCCTGACCCAGGAAAATAAAGATACTCTTATGAGGCAAGATAGTCTAAGGGTTTAGAGCAGTGGTTCTCAACCTCCCTAATGCCGCGACCCTTTAATACAGTTCCTCATGTTGTGGTGACCCCCAATTTTATTGTTACAAATTGAACATAGATTAATCACAAAAAACAATATGTAATTATATAGATTAATCACAAAAACAATATGTAATTATATATGTGTTTTCCGATGGTCTTAGGCGACCCCCAAAGGGGTCACGACCCACAGGTTGAGAACCGCTGGTTTAGAGGGTCTCTCTCAGAAGTTGGTCAAAAGCCAAACCTTTTTTGGAATGTGCAGCATTTGAAAACCCGGGCTTGCTGAGTTAATGATTTGCTGCATACACCACCCCCTGGCCTTTGGCCTAGCGCCTCTCCTACAGCAAAACAATCATGTTTGAGCATCTTTTTTTAGTAGCATTTATATCAGAGATACAGCAATAATAGCAGCATGGAGCAGCCTGCAGGGGTAGAGAGAAACTTAGAGAAATAACGAATCTATTCTTAGAGCCATTGCATCCATTTTATTTATATATATGTATATATATATATATATATATATATATATATATATATATATTTTTATTTCAGAGAGGAAGGGAAAGGGAGAGAGAGCTAGAAACATCAGTGATGAGAGAGAATGTTAATCGGCTGCCTCCTACATGCCTCCTACTGAGGATCGAGCCCGCAACCTGGACATGTGCCCTTGACCAAATTTGAACCCAGAACTCTTCAGTCCACAGGCCCACACTCTATCCACTGAGCCAAACCGGCTAGGATGCATCCATTTTCTTCTTGTTGAACTAATTTGATTATGCATTTTCCCCTTCACCTACCACTACTAGTATATTATGATAAATTCGTGTAGAAATACTTAGCACAGAAATCAGCTGATGGTTAGTGAAATTTAGTTCTTCCTCAGGCCCCTCATTTTCCATGAGTAATACACTGAGGCTTTGGCTCAGTCTCCCAGTTCAGTTGGTCATCAATATCAGTGTTATCATAACACTTATTTACGTGTTACCAGCAATGCCCTGTGTTACACAATAGCAAAATATGGTCACGTAAAACTTGGTCTCCTTATGGAACAAGTCAGTAAAGTCACAGGCTCTTCATTACGTCTTCCCAACGGAATTGGCCCTGCCTGTTTACCAGATGTTGTTATGGGCAGGCTTTATTACAGTGGCCCTGATTCTGTTATTTCTGGGGATAAGGCCAGTCACCCTGTCTCAGCTCAGAGGCTTGTACTGAGCCTGGTTTCCTATGTGTGCTCTCATACCCCACGGCCCACCTCCCTCATAAGGGGAGGACAGGTGGTACTCAGAATACAAGTCCCAGCTCTGCTAGCTGTACTTTGGGATATGCCTTATTTTGGTCAATTTTTGGGTCGGGATAGTCACGGTACATTGATATAACTGACATGTGCCCTAGAGGGCTTCCAGAGGAGGCGTGGAGGTCAGAGCATGCCATAGTGGTGCCCCTTGGGGCTCAGCAGGCTGTGTGGAGAGCCTGTGCCCCGAGACTACAGTAGCCTCCATCTGGATTAAAATAGTCAGGAGGCCTGGTGGGTCAGGGTGCGAGCCCCTTACCAGCAGCAGATGGGTCCTGGAATCATCCAGCATTGTGTGTGGAGCTGGCCAAAACCATTCACTAAAGCTTTGTCATCCTTCCAGGCTCACTCTCGTCCCTCCCTTCCTCTGGAAAGAGAACTCACTTCAGTCTTTTTTCAGATTCACACATCTTTTTCCCTGAATGATGCTTCTCACTAAAAGTGCATTTAGCTTGTCCCACAGTGCACACCCTTTTCTAGCGTGGGGCAGTGTTGCTTACTCCGTTGTGCATTTTGTGGCCATTGGGCTGATGGCCTGGGTACAGTTAGGATACATGTTTGTGCCCAAAAGTGTTGGGTTAGATGTGAGGTCGTCACACCTGGATGTAACATAGCCTGAGTTTATCATACAGCCTTTCAGAAGCTTCCTGGCTTGGGGTGGGGCTGTTCCCCAGGGGAATTTGGACCCAGCATGTGGTGCCTAGTGCTTTAATCCTAGGGAAACCCATTGTCCCCTATTCTTTTTCATAGCTTTTCATTCACAAAATGAGGGTGATGTGCATGGCGGGTTGCACTGACCATTGGGTCCGTTGTCCCTTTCTCGGCACTGCATCAAGATGGAGGAGTGCCTAGAAATTCCTTCCCAAATGGTATCCTCTGTAGTGGCTGGAACCTGAAAACTAAGTCAGAAGATCCTGGCACACATAGTCCTAGTGAAAGAACCCAGTCTGAAAGGTCGCAGGCTGTACGACTCTACCCAGCTGCCATTCCGGAAGAGGCAAAATGAGGGAGTAAAAAGACACGGGGCTTGGAGGAGGGAGGGGTGAGTAGGGGGAGCACGGGATTTTTAGGGAGGTGAAGCTGTTCTGTATGTTACCCTACTGGTGAGTTCATGACCTATGCATTTGTCGAAACCCATGGAATGTACAACACAGGAAATGAATATTAATGTAATCTATAGGCTTTAGTTAATAATGATCAGTTTTGGTTAATTAACTGTAACAAGAGTACCTCACTAATGCAAGAGGTTCATAGGGTGAAACTGCAGGGGAAAGCAAGCATACGGGAACTCTTTACTATCTGCTCAATTTTTCTGTAAACCTAAAACTGGTCTAAAAGTAGTTCATAAATTTTAGAGCTAAAGAATAGAATTGCTAGAATTCCCTTCAGTTTTCAGCAATTAGTCCAGTTAATCGTCAGATTATATAACCAGAATGTCTCTCAGGGGGAGGCCCCTCAGGATTGCAGGCTCCCGTTGGACTTCATCAGGTTCTAAAAGCAGGGGTGTTCCTGGCAAATAGATGGCTTCACCCTTTTGGCATCTGGCGTAATGGAGCCAATGGTATTCTCTCACTGAGTCTGTCGTGAGGCATTAATATAAGATTGAATTTACAGCACTGCGTAACCCACTCTTTTATCCTCAGCTACTATTTCTCCTTCTCTCCATTTGTCATTGCTTTTTACCCAAACTTTCCCACCCCTGGAAGGATGTTAGGTTTAGCCACTGTGCCGGTCCAGATCGCAGGCAGCAATGCTAGTCTAGCAGGTGTCGTGTCCTGTCTCCTCCCCACCCCTCCTTGGTCATTCCCATTTAGTAGGGTGGGGTTATATAGTACAGAACGAGTGGGCTGTTTAGACTCGTGAGCTGCATTCACCATTAACGCCATGTTGCCAAGTACTTGGGCTTCTGACTAAGAATCATCCATGCATCTGGCACCCTCAGTTGCAGCTGTGGTCCCAGCCCACTGATGTGGGGAAGACTTGTACCAGCATCCTTCCCCATCCCCTCTCCCAAGTGAACTGATCACAGATGTATGTGTTAATTTCTGGACTCTCAATTCTAGTGCAGTGTTCTACATGCCAGCATCACAGCATTTGACGGCTGTAGCTTTGTCATAAAATTGGAAATCAGGAAGTGTGAGTTCTCCAATGTTTTTGTTTTCCTCTTTCAAGATTGTTTTGGCCATTCGGGTTACTTGAACTTCCATATGAATTTTAGAATAAGCTTGTCAAACTCTACAAAGAAGTCAGCTGGAATTTTGTTGGGGATTGTATTGAATCTGTAGGTCAGTTTGTCTTTTCTGATGAAGGAGAGCCGTAAATCTAGTTTATGATTTCACTTGAATGCCTTTTGTCATGCTTTCGCATTAGTGTGTGAGGAGGGTCCTTTACACTGGTCCTGAATTCAGATCTAGTAAATGAGGGCCATGTGGATGGGCCTGTGGCCTGGGTGCAGGGTGCCCCAGCGGGATGGGGGCCTCGCTCCTGTCCAGCTGACCTCCCCTTTGCAGGAAGAGCGTTCGCGGAGTGAGCACAACTTAGTGAACATCCAGAAGACCCACGAGCGGATGCAGACAGAGAACAAGAGTGAGTAGCTGGGCTCTGGAGAGAAAGGGGATGAGGAGTGGATGTGGGTCAAGATTGCTGTCGTTTTCAAAAGGAGCTTTTGCATGTATCTGCAGTCATCCAAGATGAGCTGCTCCTTAGGCCAGAGGGACAGTTTTCCCTTACGCTGGGGGCCTACGGTGACCTAGGAGACAGACACCAGACTGCCTAGCCCTAAGGAACCTTAAAATCCCCCAACTCTAGGGACTAGAAGCCAGTGAAAAGAGGCTGCATCTAGGGAAACACCTTAAAGGGCACAAGCACCCCGGTTAGCTGGTGTTTTCTAGGGAGCTTCCCTCCCAGGATGCACTGAGGGCCCCAGCTGGCCAGGCTCCTGGCCTCGGGCTTTCCGGCTCTGAGCAGCTTGAGACTGCTTTCTGCTCTCCATGTGCTGAGAAGTACTTCCTGTGTGCATCATGCTATGGCAAAGGAAGGAAGGCCTCCCTTGCGTGCAGTAATGGCATTTGTACCGTATGGAAAAGTGAGCGCGCTGTGCATGGGGTGCAGGTGCCTCGGGGAGCACTCTGAGCCAGTGGAGCTCATGCCTCCCAAGGCCTGATTCCGATATACTGGAAGCAGAGCCACACGACTGCCAGCTGCCCCTCGCCCACTCCTGTCTACCTGTGCTTACTCTGCAGTCTCTCCCTATTACCGGACAAAGCTGCGGGGCCTCTATACAACCGCCAAAGCTGACGCAGAGGCCGAGTGCAAGTGAGTACCAACCACTGCCTGCCATCGCCTCCCTGCCTCGCCCAGGTGCTGGGCTGCAGGAACCTATGGACCACGGCCCAGGCTGCCTTCCTGGCATGGAGGAGCCTCTCCCTTAGGGCCGCCCTCCCTAGAGCCCACTTCTAAACTGCTCCCCCCTCCCTAGCAGCAGGGCAGGGGTCAGGTGTCCGCACTGCCATTTGCCTCTCACGTGACCTTAGGCAGTCACTTCAGCTGGGACTCAGTTGCTCCATCATTAAAATAGGAATAATAACTACCTATAGAATTGTCAACATAAATGAGATAATGCATATAAAGTGCCTAAGACTAGTGTTTTACAAACTCTTGGCCATTCCTCACATTAGGAAGTGCATTCTCTATGGTGGTGGTAGTAACAGTAACAATAACAGCTCTATGTGGCCTTACTCTGTGCCAGGTGCTGTTACACTTTCTATATTTACCTCATTTAACCCTCAGAGCAGCTCTAAAATGGGATTATCCCATTTAACACATGAGGAAACTGAAATACCAAAGGGTTGTGTAATCTGCCAAAAGACACAACTAGTGAGTGGGGGAGCCCAAATTTAATCCCAAAGTCCTTATTCTTCAGTGTTTTCTTATTGATTTTTAGAGAGAGGAAGGGAGACGGAGAGAGAGAGAGAAACATCAATTCTGAGAATTATTGATCGACTGCCTCCTGCATGCCCCCTAACCAGGGATGGAGCCTGCAACCCAGGCATGTGCCCTGACTGGGAATCGAACATGATCTCCTGGTTCATAGGTCGATGCTCAACCACTGAGCCACACTGGTCGGGCTGTCTTACCAGGTTTTGTATGCTTTTAAGACTAAAGCCACCTATGTGGGGTTCATAGTTTTCACAAGGTTTGTCAGTGTTCTTGACCAGAAGAGGAAGTCCATGCATAGTGCCTCATCCAGACCTCTTCTTTCCCTCCTCCCACCCTCAGCATCCTCCGGAAAGCCCTCGATAAGATTGCGGAAATCAAGTCTCTGTTGGAAGAGAGGCGGATTGGTGAGTTAGAGACGACAAGTTAGTTGGGTGTTCCTTGACCAGGTTGAGTGAGGGTTCCTGGGAGCAGCAATCATCTCTTCCTGCCGGGGAGCCTGTAACCTCAGCCTGGTGTGGTCGATTGGGCCACGGGCTGTGACAGGGAGGTGCACCAGGACAGCTTGGGACTGGGAAGGGCACGGAGGTCAGTCCACGGGTCAGAGACAAGGCCTCCCGCTCTCCCTCTGCACACCAAGCTGATTTGCCCCAATCCCTCTGGCTTCCATCCTCTACTGCCTGGGGCAGTCACCTGCTACCCGCAGGCCCATTTCTTGCTGAGGCGAGAACCTGGCTGTTATTTGAGAGCCACAGCGGGATGTCCTGAGGCCACCCTTTCAGATGGGCTTACACAGGGTGCTGGCTTCCATATCGCTTCAGACTGCGGTCCCACCTCTCGCGCCCGTCCAATGTACCCAGGGGCAGACTCCTCGCCCATGAAATTGTCACACTGCCAGTTGGGTTGAAGTTGACTGGGTGTATTGAGCCATGCCCGAGGAGGTAAGGGCTCTGTCCACATTTGATAGCTCTTTGAACTTTTTGCTTAATTATAACATATTAATAAAAATACATGTAAGTAGACCCCCAGCGCAATAAAATGTTCACTACCTGAACAAATGGATGTAACCAGCACCCAGATAAGAGACACGACCAGCGCCTCAGAATCCCCCTTTTGGCCTCTTCTGTTCTTTCCCAAAACGTATCCACTAACCCGTCTGGCCAGGTGAGTGTGGCCTGGTGGTCTCTCAGCAGGAGCCTCCAGTGGAGGGCCAGGGAGCACACTGGACCCTTGGTGCCAACTCGAGGAGAGGTGGGGAGCCAGAGGCAGGCACCCTATCCCTGGTGCCTCAGGGGCTCACTTCCTTCCCACAGCGGCCAAGATCGCGGGCCTGTACAATGACTCGGAGCCCCCGCGCAAGACAATGCGCAGGGGGGTGCTGATGACCCTGCTGCAGCAGTCGGCCATGACCCTGCCGCTGTGGATCGGGAAGCCTGGTGACAAGTGAGGGCAGGCCCAGGGAGGGGGGGCTGGCAGGGGAGGGGCTGGGACTGACAGGTTATCCCCTCCGCAGGCCGCCCCCACTCTGCGGGGCCATTCCGGCCTCTGGGGACTACGTGGCCAAACCTGGAGACAAGGTGGCTGCCCGGGTCAAGGCCGTGGATGGGGATGAGCAGTGGATCCTGGCCGAGGTGGTCAGTTACAGCCATGCCACCAACAAGTGAGTGGACACGCCCAGCCCTGTGGGAACTGGGACACGTGTGAAGAGCCGGCTCCTTGGGCTACTTCCCTCCTCACCTTCCTCCCCAGTCCCCACCTGGTGTGCACCGCCCTGCACCCACTGCTCTCCTTTCCTTCGCCTGCAGGTATGAGGTCGATGACATTGATGAGGAAGGCAAAGAGTGAGTGTGCTGGCCAGGGCGGCGCGAGGGAAGCCTGGGGACAGCCCTGCTGCTGGGAAAGAGCCCCCCACCTGCCATGGGTTGACCTATGCGCCCCTCCAGGAGACACACCCTGAGCCGGAGGCGCATCATCCCACTGCCCCAGTGGAAGGCCAACCCTGAGACGGACCCCGAAGCCTTATTCCAGAAGGAGCAGCTCGTGCTGGCCCTGTATCCCCAGACCACCTGCTTCTACCGTGCCCTGATCCACACCCCCCCGCAACGGGTAAGGCAGCCCCCGGGGGGGATCGTCCAGGACACCAGGACCACCCCGCTGACCAGAGAGGTCATGGGGTCCATTACCTTCTCTTTCCCCCTTAGCCTCTATGAGCTGGCAGGGTCCTGAGCTGTAATCCCTCCAGCCTGTCCTCCAGGCAGTGCCGGCGCCCTGCGGAGCCTTAGAAAGCCCCAGTGTGTCCTCTAGTCTAGCCTTGCTTTCGCATTGAGGTGGGGAGCCTGAGCCCCGAGATGGAAGCCTTGCTCAGGGCCAGTCTTCACCCCCGACCCCTGCACTCTAATCACCCGTCACTGATGGCAGTTTAAAGGCTAGTCTCCCCTCTTCCTCCAGGACCCCTGCCTGCTGCCCTCTGAGTTGTCCTTGCTCCCCTTAACCTGAGGGCCCCTTCCGTGTGGCCGCCTGTGTAGCTAGCGAGTCCTTTCCCTTACTATTCACCCCCGTCCTTGGCCCTTGGTGGCTCAGGAGCTCTGTAGCCGGGAGCAGGTTCAAACATCTAGACTTCTTGAGTGAAGATGAGACGGGAAAGGCTAGGAGCCCACACACCACAGGTGCCTGTCGGTCTAGGCTTGGGGCGAGGGGGGCGCTGGCCTGGGGCTTTCTGACCAGCGCCTCCTGTCTGCCTCCTGCCGCAGCCCCAGGATGACTATTCGGTCCTGTTTGAAGACACTTCCTATGCAGATGGTTACTCCCCTCCCCTCAATGTGGCCCAGAGGTACGTGGTGGCTTGTAAGGAGCCCAAGAAAAAGTGATGCAGTCTGGCAGTCTCCTGCCACCTCACGGGGGCATGCTACAAGACATTCTGTGAAGAAATAAATGTTCTTCCCCTTTGCCATGTCTCCTGGGTTCTCACCCCTCCTACAGAGGGCAAGTTGGGGAACTGGGGCCTCATTTGGTCCCAGCGGGCAGTTACTCTCTCTCAGCTCAGCTCTGCTTTTCTTCCAATAGGCACACTCCATGCAGCACAAGCTGTACTTTATTCTTGAGGCCCCTGTCGGGCCCCTCGCACACACTCCCTGGGGAGCGGTCCCATGAACACCACTCACAGCTCTGTGTGGAACTTGAGGTTGCAGCCTGCCATCTTCTCAGCGTAGTGGGCATCAAAGCGCTCATTCTGGGCCACAGTGAACATGGTTTTCCAGTCCCCCGTGATGCCTGGGGAGGGAGGCGGGGTTGGAAGGAGGGAGGCTAGAGGTCCTGGCCAAAGCAGAGGCCCCAAGTGGCCCAGGGCCAGCTCTAGCCGCTGCTCCCGCCCTCCCTCCCCAGCGCCCCTCCTGGTGGGCACTCACCTTTCCTCATGAAGGCGGAAATGTTGTGGTCCATGAGCTCCACGGGTATGGTGCTGTAGTTAGCCATGGGGTTCTTCTTCATCTCCTTGAACGACGTGTGCCGCACAATGTGATCCACCGTCTCCTCTGACAGGGGGCGGCCCACGAACTCCAGAATCTTCCGAATCTCCCTTTTGGGGTTCTGGAGCAGCAGGGGGGCTCTTCAGTGGAGGCTTGGGTTGTGCGTTGAACAAACAAAAGGGAGGCCCCACCCTAACGTCATGGCCACTTCCGACCCTGCTCCGGGACTCTGGTCCTTTGTACTCTGGCACTCCTGGGGCAAAATTAATTGCCTTCTGCCCTGTGATCTGTTAGAAGCTGTATCTGGCTCCTTAGGGTGAGGGCACGGACAGCCCTCTGTCATTACTGGGCCCAGGGAGAAGCAGTAGCAGTAAATGGGTGATCAGTGACTGCACTTGGGACTGACTCAGGCGCTAGGAGATAAGGGCTGTACGGAGTGTGCTGCCCAAGGAGCAGGGAAGGTGAGGTGGGTCTAGGACCCGTGTAGGGTCTGCCATAGGGAAGCGGGGCTTAGAAGGTCTTGGGACTCGCCCATGTGCAGGGAAGTGGTAGCGGGGTCTCACCTCCTGCATGTCCTCGTAGAAGAGGTAGAGAACAGGGTGGGTGCGCCTCAGCTCCCACCACTCCCGCACGTGCTGGTACCAGGACCCATAGGACACTGGGGAAAAGGGCAGGGGACACAGACAGAGGTTGGTGTTCGTTCCAGCTGGCTACCCCTCAGCTCACCCCCTCCTTCCTCCAGAGTTAGGCCCACCTTCCCCAGCCATGAACTTCTCCAGGAAGCTCTCCCAGGTGCCGGGCTCAGGGTGCACCTTGGCCATGCGGTAAAAGTGGTAATAGGAGACGGCCACATCCTTGGCGTTCCGGGCAACGTAGATCACCTGGAAAGGCAGAAGACACCCCACCCCCCACCGCACCGTCACCGCACAGCACAGCACAGCAGGCACTAGAGGTTCTTTAAGCATCACATTCCACCCTCACAGCCTCCCTGCAAGGGGGGTTCTCTCTTGGTCTGGCCAAGAGGGAAACAGGCCTAGAGGCTGCCTTGGGTGTGACTGAGCTGGGATTTGAAGCCTGCTCTGATGCCAGAGTCCTGGCTGGTTCCAGGAACTGTATTTTATACTCATCCAGTCTTCTCAGTGCCACTGTACCGATTTGGAACAAGGCGTGCAGAATTCCCTCCAGCCCCTCCTCCACAGGCCTGTGAGCACCGAGGCCTGCAAAGTCTCGCTGTCACTGGCCATCTGACCCACCGGAGCATGAGGTTGAGGACTTCTCCCCGTTTAAGATGAGACCTTCCTAGAAGATGGGGCCAAAGCTGGGTTGGCCCCAGCTGCCTTTTTCTCTAGCTTCCATTGCCACTCACCTTAATCTTCTGGTCCAGCAGGGCCTGTGGGAGCAGAGCCAGGGGCAAGTGTGTCTTGAGGAGCCGTGGGGCTGGTGTATCTTTCAGAACCTCCATACCTAAGCCATGGATAGGAAAGGTCCAGTGAGCTGGAGCCCGGGCCCTCCCTCCCTCCACCTCACTGGCCTCCAGCACCCCACCACACACCTGTGGGACACCCTGGACCCTTGAACTCAAGGAAGGGCACCCGGGTTAAGATGGGAGCCCTCTGACACTTCTCCAAGTCGCCATCCTGGTAGATCATGTCCAGGATCTCACTCACCCAGGTGGTGCCTGGAGAGAAAAATGGGAGGTAAGCGGGCTGAGGGCACACCCCTGCTGGCCCGAGGTGGGGACTGCAGCCCAGGAGAGGGGTGCGTGGTCCTCATCACCTACCAGATTTGGGGTAGGTGCTGATGAGCAGGTCATCGGGCCTGGGTTGTAAGCTCTGCAGTGGCCCAATTGCCTCTGCAAAGTATTTGATGAGAGGCACCCCCTTCACATACTTCAGTGGCGGGCGGGAGATGTCCTGGACCAGCTCCATGCTGCCGAGTCAGGGTGCGCACTGGGGCCGACCTCCCTTAACAACATCACAACAATGTCTTCTGTTTAATTGCTTTAAGGTAAGGAAACAGGCTGAGCAACTTGCCTACACTCAGAGCCAGTGAGTGCTGGGCCGGATTCCGGCCAGGTCTAACACAGTGGGGCCACAACTCTGGAGGCACCTTGGATTTACCCGCAGAACTTTTAAAAATCCCAATGCCTGCCCAGATAGAGTGGCTCACTGGTTGAGCATCTACCCATGAACCAGGAGGACAAGGTTCCATTCCCCGTCAAGGTACATCCCTGGGTTGCCAGCTCCATCCCCAGTAAGCGGCGTGCAAGAGTCAGTCAACCAATGATTCTCTCATCATTGATGCTTCTATCTCTCCCTCTCTGTCCTCGCTCTAAAATCAATTTAAAAAATATTTATTTTAAAATCCCAGTGCCTGGGTCACACCCCAAGTTAATTAAATTGCTCTGGATTCGACCCAGGTACCTGGGTTTTGGAAGCTGACCAGGAGATTCCAGTGTGCACTTGAGAAAACTCCTACTCTGGGGCCTGCCAAGTGTTTTCTTTCAGTACTTGCTGCTGCAGCTCTGGATCTGATCCCAGTGGGCTCCTCCCCATCCTTCCCTCCTTGAGCTCCCTAAGCCCTCACATACAGAAACCTCCCCAAAGCCAACTGGGCCTGTGACCCAACTTGCTCAACCACACTCCATCTTGGCTCAGGGAGAAACAGACAAATGAGCAACTGAGCTTGTTTTGGGAGCCATTCTGGTGTGATGAGCAAAACATGCCTCAGCAAAAGAGGGAAGAGGGAAGAGGGACGGGTTTCAGGCCAGACTGGAGTTGGTATCAGACTGAGCTGGGATTTCCATGGGGAAAGGGCAGGGTCAGATTGAGCTGGGATTTCCATGGGGAAAGGGCAGGGTCAGATTGAGCTGGGATTCAGGGGAAAGCGCAGGGTCAGATTGAGCTGGGATTCAGGGGAAATGCAGGGTCTGTAGAGGCGGGAATGGAGAGATCAAGCAGTGAGAGCAAACAGTGCAGGGTGAGGGAGGTCTGGCCCAGCCCACCCTATGCTAGCACTCACCTGACCTCTCCAGACCTTGGCCTTGTGGCACTCTGTTGTGCCGTCACATATGTGAGTGCAGAACTGCAGAGAGCTGCAAGTTTTATAAGTCCAAAGTGGGAGGGATTTGGAGCCAGCACTGGGCCTTGGCTGTCTTACAGGAATGGGTGGGGTTTGGGGTGGGAGGGCCCCTTCGCTACCCTCATTAGCACCCCCGCTGAAGCCAAGATTAGACTGGCCTGAAAACCCAAGATGTGTGTTCAGTGTGTAGAAAATAAAAGACAGAAGCAACACCAAAGGGCCTAATAGCTTCTTTTTTTTTTTGAGCTGTAATCCCAGCTTCTGGCTTGTACTCCAAACTCCAGCTCTGCAGGAGCCAACAGCTTTTTCTAATAAACGTGATCTCCAGAGGACAGAGGAGTGGAGGGGAAAGGTGGCCCCAGGCCAGTCTGAGGACCAAAGGTTCAGGTCAGGGGCAGCCCACAGGCAACAGGCAGCCCAGGCTGGAGTGATGTGGGTGGGTGGGTGGGTGACGGGGCTTGGGGCAGGGCACTGCTCAGCAGGCTCTCCTTGAGGCAGCATAGGATGGGAAAGAGCAAGAACACTGGAGGCTCATAACACTCAGAGGGACCCCATTCCACGGTTCCCGTGGGACCTCACTTGGGTGGTGGGAGAACAGCCCCCAGAAGATGCTTGTCTTCCCTTGGGTTAGAAGTGGGCTTGTCCTTTGTCCTTACTGTTTGGATTAAAGTCCAAATTCCATCTGAGCAATGGAGGCGGGTAAGATCTGAGTCAAGGGTGTGTCTCCAGCCCATCAAGAATGTGACCTCAGCCCAGCAGGTGTGGCTCAGTGGTTGAGCGTTGACCCAAGAACCAGGTCAGGGTTCAATTCCCAGTCAGGACACATGCCTGGGTTGTGGGCTCAATCCCCACTAGGGGCCCTGCAGGAGGGAGCTCATTAATGATTCTCATCATTGCTGTTTCTCCCTTTCCATTCCTTCTCTGAAATCAATAAAAATGTATTTTTTAAAAAATCAAAAGGAACTGTGATCTCAGAGGCAGGCCAGGGGAAAGCTGAGGCAGAAGGGCCTCCAGCAGAGGAGAGGCTGGTCCATCTGGGGTCAGTGGCCCCTCCCGCAGCCTCTCATCTCCTCGGGCACCAGTGACTGGCAGGGCCTTTGCCCCCTAACTCCACACACACCCCAGCAAATACCGGAAGATGCCCTTAACTCAGACTTTTTATTGTACTCAAGTAAAAACTGCCCAGACACGAAGGCAGTGGCACGGGTAAGGAATGGGTGGAGGGCTGGGGGTGCTGAGGGTCAGATCTCCAGCATGTCTGTCCAGTGTTCCTGTGGAGACAAGAAGGGTGGTCAGAGGCAGCCCAGGGAATAGGCTGGGGCAGGGTCCAAAACACCTCTCACCTCTTCTAATTCCAAGTTCTCCTCTTCCTCCTCGGAGCCCATCCGGCACAGCCGGATCAGGTCTCCCCACAGCAGTGAGTTCTTGCAGCTACCGAGGGGTGCAGTTGGTAGGAGACAGTCAGATCACAAGCCTCCTTCAGCCTAGGCCCTGGGTGCCAAGATGAGGACTCAGATGCCCTGGGCCTAGGCAGTGTCTTCACAGAGGTAAACCGGGCTGGGGGAGGGATGCTGGACTCACCCAGGGCATCGGCCCTCTAGGGGCAGAAGCTGCCCGGGCTCCTCCTGCAGGAACTCATCTGCCAGGCAGGTCATGTGGGCCCTTAGGGAGCAGCCAGGGTGGGGGCAACACAGGGGGCCTTCTTCATCCTGTCCGAGGGAGCAGGCAGGGAAGGGAGAAAATGGGGAGTAGTGATGTAACTAAAACTCAAAGAATTTCTATGGACCAGACACTGTTCCAGGGGCTTTACATCACCTATGAGGCACATACTACTCCTATCTGTATATTGTAGATGAGGACACAGGTATGGAGGAGTTATAAAGCTTGCTCACGGGGACTAAGCTGGCCAATTCTCTCTGAGTATTAGCAGTGATTCTACAACAGCACGGCCACTGCAGCTAGACCTAGAGTTCCTTACAGGCTAAGTGATCTCCGTGGCTAATCTCTGAGTGGCAAGTACAGTCACGTGCCGAGTCAACGATATGGTCAAGGACCCACATAGGTGACGTACGTCTAGCAAATAGCCTAGATGTGTAGTAGGCTACACCATCTAGGTGTGTGTAAGTGCACTCTGTGATGTTCGAAGGGTAAAAGTATTCCCCTAATTTAGCGGCATGTAAGGTATGCAGTTTACTTACATTTAATTTGAGTGAAAGTCAGACCCGTCATCTCAGTTAATATACTAAATGTTTATTTGCCACCTGCTCTGTATCACACCCTTCTCCAATACTAAATAAGAACCACCCTTGAGTGTAGTATGGGGGGGGGGGGGGGAGTGAGACTGATAATAAAATAAAATAATAGTTGACCCCTGAAGAACACAGGTTTGAACGGGGTGGTCCATTTACACACAGATTTTTTCCCCCAATACACAGTGGGCCCTCCATATCCCTGGGTTTTGCATCTGCAGATTCAACCAACCACAGATTACAAAACAGTATTTTTGGTCCAGGGCTGGGAATCCACAGATGCAGAGGGCTGGCTGTTTGCACTGTTCTATACCATTTTATATAAGAGACTTGAAAATCCAAGGAGGTGGGAAGGTCCTGGAAACAATCCCCAATGGATACCGAAGGGGGGCTGTTGGGGGAAGTAAAAAGTTCTATGTGGCTTTTTGACTGCATGGTTTCAGCACCCCTAATCCTCATACTGTTCAAGTCAACTGTACATGATGTTAGGCAATAAGTGTTAAGCCTTTAAAAAAAAAAAAAAAAAAAAAAAAAAAGGAGCCCTGACGGTGTGACTCCGTTGGCTGAGCATTGTCCCTGCACCCAGAGGCTGCTGTTTGGATTCTGGTCATGGCACATGCCTGGGTTACCAGGTTGATTCCCACTAGGGGGCGTGCAGGAAGCAGCCTATGAATGTTTCTCCCTCTCCCTTTTTCTCTAAAATCAATACAAACATATTTTTAAAAAAGGAAAGCAGTACCAAGAAAGTTGCAATTGGAGAGAGAGAGCCAAGGAAGACCTCACGGAAAAGAGGTGGCATTTCATCAAGACCGATGGTCTAGGGAAGAACTTTCCAGTGAAAGAAAGGCAAAGGTCCGGACAGGATTGGCCGCAAGTACTATGGTCCCCATTTTAGAGATGGAAGCAAGGCGGGCAAAGGCTGTCGGTGGGCTGCGCCATCCTCCAGTAGACAGCCTGGTCCTCAGTCATCTGAACGCCAGACCTGCCCCAGGTGGAGCCTCTCACCTGAAGCGCGCGCGCGCACAGGGTGCAGGGGGCCTCCGCGTCCTGGTCCGGCTCCGGCTCGGTGTCAGCAAAGGGACGGGCCGGACGCTTGGGGGCCAGCATCCGCGGTGGCGGAGGCCCGAAGGCTACCGGCACGTGAGGCGGGGGTGGCAGGCAGAGGTCCTGGCGGAAGTCGGCGCGCAGCCAGCGCAGGGTGAGCGGGAGGCGCGCCCAGGGCGGCGCGCGCAGCATGTGCGCCAGCACCCGCAGGTGGAACGCGAAGGCGGCCTCGCTGCGCAGGCGTGGTGCCACGTGCGCCAGGCGGCGCGAGGCCTGCGGGTGCTGCCAGGCCCACTCGAACTGCGGGCGGGAGGGAGGGCTTCAGGGCCGCCCCGGGAGGGCCCCGCGCCCCAGCCCATCTTCCTGCCGCCCCGTCTCCTTCCTTACCCGAAGGGCGGCCACGGCGGAAGGGAAGCCGTGCACTATGAGCACCATCTCCCTGGGGAAGAGAACGAGGCCGTGGCCCGTGAGAAGCCCCCGCCCCCACCCCACCCTGCTCCACCCGTGTCAAGCCCAATCCCCTCGCCACGGGTCGCCTTCAGTCCTGCCAGAGAGTGGAGTCCTCACCGCGGGCGTCAAGCCTCGTCCACGAGGCGCTGCCCTCCTTAGAGGCCCGCCCCTCGCACCTGCCTCCCCGGCTCCGCCCCCGGTCACAGGGGCTTAACTGCCTTCCCAGGTTCTATCTTCCAGCCCAGCCTGGCTCACCCACCCCTGTCGCGGGACCACGCCTAAACCATCAGTCCCCTTCCTAACATCCTAGTCCCACAGGCTCCTCCTCCCCAAGGCCCCTCCCCGGCCACAGGCCCACCCACCTCACCAGCCACCCCAAGGCCCGGTTCTCCGCGCCACACCGGCCCCGCCCACTGTCACTGACTCTGCCCCGGGCCCGCCGCCTCCCTGAAGCCCTCCTCTTGCGTGACCACCCCTCTTACCAGGGCCCGCGCCCGCTGGTCCGCCAGGCCCCGCCTTTTCTGCGGCCTCCGTTGTGCTGCTGCACCCGACGAGCCGGGTTAACGGTGAACCCCACGTAGACGCGGCCCCGGTGCCGAGGGTTCAGGCAATAGAGCAGGTAGACGCCGAAGAAGCACCCGGGCCTCGCCGCGCCCCCCTCGGGACCCATCAGGACGTGGGGGTTGGTTGCTGTGGCCTCTGAGTCGGGGAGGGTTGGGTTGCCAGGGCCGCCATACACTAGTCTGGGGAAAACCCCTGGTGGCGGCTGCAGCAGCGCGGGTTCGGGCACCCTCTCCCGGCTGGAGCCGCGGAACCTCGGGCGGCGGCACCAATGAGCGTCGGCGGGGGCGGAGCCCGGCCTGCGCAGGCTCTGATTGGCTGCCGGGCGGGCGGCAGGCGCGGAACGCGGGCGGTTGGAAACTGGGTTTCCGTGAGGGCGGAAGTGCTGGGCGCACGGACGCCTCAGTAAGGGCGGAAGTAGAGGCCTCAGCAGAAGTGGCAGCAGTGAGGGTGGAAGCAGCGCGACCCGCGTGGGATCGGGGGTTCTGCCCGCGCCGGGCCGCCCACGCCGGCCGCCATGGAACTCAGCGCGGAGCACCTGCGGGAGAAGCTGCGGCGGGACCTGCAGGCAGAGCACGTGGTGAGCGGCGCGGCCCGGACCTGCCCGGCGAGGGCAAAAGGCTTCTGGGTGGGCGGCTTGGCACCATCCTCATGATTCTGCCCCTTAGGAGGTGGAGGACACGACTCCCAACCGTTGCGCGTCCAGCTTCCGAGTCCTGGTGGTGTCGGCCAAGTTCGAGGGGAAGCCGCTGCTCCAGAGACACCGGTGAGGCCCGAGGCCCGGGAACCCCTCTCTCAGCGCTGTCCCGGCCCCACGGCCCCCCGGGACCCCGCAACCCAACTCCCTGGCCCGGCAATGCGGCCCAGCCCTGTGGGCTACAGCCCCAAGGACTTCGCCTTCTCGGCCCCCGCTGGGGGTATTGAGGCTTAGGCCCTCTACCTCTCCTGTCCCAGGTCCTGGGCGCCACAACTTGGGGACACCTCCAGCCTTCTGGGTCAACCTAGCTTCGAGGACCGACTTAGGCTCGCGGTTTCCTAACAACGTCTCTCCCGCAGGCTGGTGAACGCGTGTCTAGCAGAAGAGCTCCCGCATATCCATGCCTTTGAGCAGAAAACCCTGACCCCAGAGCAGTGGGCCCGTGAGCGTGAGCGGCAGAAATAAGAGACCAGCACCTGCACAGCCATTAAATTATGAATCAGGGCCAGCTTCTGTGTTGGTGTGTTGTGTGTGGGAGGGGCACTGAGGCTGTCTAGAGCCTGGCTTCTCCCTGCCCTGACATTCTTCGTTGTCTCCTCATTGTTTTAACTTGGGCAAGTCCCTCTCCGCCCAAAGGCCTCTGTGTCCCCACTTTTAAAGTGAAAGTTCAATCCTTGAAATCCCTTTCAGGACAGGCCTCACAGGCCTTTTCTGTAATGCTTCGAAGAGTCCTACTAACCAACCACCTATTTGTGGACAATTGCTGGGTGTTCCTGCCCTCTGCCAGCCTTCAAGATGCAGAGATGAGCTCTGGCTGGTGTGTTTCGGTGGTTAGAGCATGGGCCTGCAAACCAGTGGGTCCTGGGTTCAATTCCCGATCAAGGGCATGTACCTGGGTTGCAGGTTTGATCCCCACCCCGGTCTGGGTTCAGGAGGCAACTAATTGATGTGTTTCTCTTACATCTATGTCCCTTTCTTCCCTCCCCTGAGCCCTTCCACTCTCTAATCAATGACCAAAAAATCCTTGGGTGAAGATTAACAACAACAAAAATGCACAGATGAGAAAGTGCTCGGAGTTTCAGGGTGCTGGCCAATTTAGCCTTTCTCTCTCAGTAACTTCGCCCCATGTCCGAAGCATAATAGAGGATTCCACACTTCCCCTGCAGGTTCCCACAGGGACATGGTACCCCAGCAGCTGGAATGCTGATGTTTTCTGGCCCACTGGAGAACGTTCAATAACCTTTTAGCCCTGGGCTTGGTGCGGCCAGACCCCCTTGAGAGGACCATGTGTTTTTTGGGGGTTTTTTTTACTTAATATTTTTATTGATTTCAGAGAGGGAGAGAAACATCAATGATGAGAAAGAATCATTGATCAGTTGCCTCCTGCACCCTCTCTCTCCCCACCTACTGGGGATGGAGCCTGCAACAGAGGCATGTGCCCTTGCTGGGAATTGAACTGTGATCTACTGGTTCATAGGTCAACGCTCAACCACTGAGTCACGCCGGCCAGGCAACATATCCTTTTTGAGGGAGCAGTAGTTTAACCCATAACGACACTAACAAGGTTCTCTTCTGTTCCCCCTCCGCCCCAGGCGCCATATGTACCATGGCCCTCGTGTCAGCTGATTCCCGCATCGCAGAACTTCTCACTGAGCTCCATCAGCTGATCAAACAAACGCAGGTAACAGGCCACAGCCCTCCATTCCTATAGGGGAACATGGGCTGTGATGCAGAGCTCTGGAGTGGCGGGTGGGGTTGTGTTCAGAGAGATTGGAGGGGAGGACCCAAGATGATGTCATGAAGGTGAGAGGAGGGCAGGACTACCATTCCTGTTGGGTTATCCATCGTGTGAGATATTAATTCACATGCCTTACAGTTCACCCATTTAAAGTTATAATTCATTTGTTTTTAGTCTATGCAAAGAGCCGTGCAACCATCACCATGACCAACTTCAGAACATTTTACCCCATATCCAATAGCCATTATTCCTTTCTCCTTCCACCCTGACCCAGGAAAATAAAGATACTCTTTTGAGGCAAGGTAGTCCAAGGGTTTAGAGGGTCTCTCTCAGAAGTTGGTCAAAGGCCAAACCTTTTTTGGAATGTGCAGGGTTTGAAAACCCAGGCTAGCTGAGTTAATCATTTGCTGCATATATCACCCCCTGGCCCTTGGCCTAGGCCAGTGGTCGGCAAACTGCGGCTCGCGAGCCACATGCGGCTCTTTGGCCCCTTGAGTGTGGCTCTTCCTAAATCTTAGGAGTACCCTAATTAAGTCAATAACAATGTACCTACCTACATAGTTTAAGTTTAAAAAATTTGGCTCTCAAAAGAAATTTCAATCGTTGTACTGTTGATATTTGGCTCTGTTGACTAATGAGTTTGCCAACCACTGGTCTAGGCTCTCCTACAGCAAAACAATCATGTTTGAGCCTGGGACTGGGAAGGGCACGGAGGTCAGTCCACGGGTCAGAGACAAGGCCTCCCGCTCTCCCTCTGCACACCAAGCTGATTTGCCCCAATCCCTCTGGCTTCCATCCTCTACTGCCTGGGGCAGTCACCTGCTACCCGCAGGCCCATTTCTTGCTGAGGCGAGAACCTGGCTGTTATTTGAGAGCCACAGCGGGATGTCCTGAGGCCACCCTTTCAGATGGGCTTACACAGGGTGCTGGCTTCCATATCGCTTCAGACTGCGGTCCCACCTCTCGCGCCCGTCCAATGTACCCAGGGGCAGACTCCTCGCCCATGAAATTGTCACACTGCCAGTTGGGTTGAAGTTGACTGGGTGTATTGAGCCATGCCCGAGGAGGTAAGGGCTCTGTCCACATTTGATAGCTCTTTGAACTTTTTGCTTAATTATAACATATTAATAAAAATACATGTAAGTAGACCCCCAGCGCAATAAAATGTTCACTACCTGAACAAATGGATGTAACCAGCACCCAGATAAGAGACACGACCAGCGCCTCAGAATCCCCCTTTTGGCCTCTTCTGTTCTTTCCCAAAACGTATCCACTAACCCGTCTGGCCAGGTGAGTGTGGCCTGGTGGTCTCTCAGCAGGAGCCTCCAGTGGAGGGCCAGGGAGCACACTGGACCCTTGGTGCCAACTCGAGGAGAGGTGGGGAGCCAGAGGCAGGCACCCTATCCCTGGTGCCTCAGGGGCTCACTTCCTTCCCACAGCGGCCAAGATCGCGGGCCTGTACAATGACTCGGAGCCCCCGCGCAAGACCATGCGCAGGGGGGTGCTGATGACCCTGCTGCAGCAGTCGGCCATGACCCTGCCGCTGTGGATCGGGAAGCCTGGTGACAAGTGAGGGCAGGCCCAGGGAGGGGGGGGCTGGCAGGGGAGGGGCTGGGACTGACAGGTTATCCCCTCCGCAGGCCGCCCCCACTCTGCGGGGCCATTCCGGCCTCTGGGGACTACGTGGCCAAACCTGGAGACAAGGTGGCTGCCCGGGTCAAGGCCGTGGATGGGGATGAGCAGTGGATCCTGGCCGAGGTGGTCAGTTACAGCCATGCCACCAACAAGTGAGTGGACACGCCCAGCCCTGTGGGAACTGGGACACGTGTGAAGAGCCGGCTCCTTGGGCTACTTCCCTCCTCACCTTCCTCCCCAGTCCCCACCTGGTGTGCACCGCCCTGCACCCACTGCTCTCCTTTCCTTCGCCTGCAGGTATGAGGTCGATGACATTGATGAGGAAGGCAAAGAGTGAGTGTGCTGGCCAGGGCGGCGCGAGGGAAGCCTGGGGACAGCCCTGCTGCTGGGAAAGAGCCCCCCACCTGCCATGGGTTGACCTATGCGCCCCTCCAGGAGACACACCCTGAGCCGGAGGCGCATCATCCCACTGCCCCAGTGGAAGGCCAACCCTGAGACGGACCCCGAAGCCTTATTCCAGAAGGAGCAGCTCGTGCTGGCCCTGTATCCCCAGACCACCTGCTTCTACCGTGCCCTGATCCACACACACACCCCCCCACGGGTAAGGCAGCCCCCGGGGGGGATCGTCCAGGACACCAGGACCACCCCGCTGACCAGAGAGGTCATGGGGTCCATTACCTTCTCTTTCCCCCTTAGCCTCTTTGAGCTGGCAGGGTCCTGAGCTGTAATCCCTCCAGCCTGTTCTCCAGGCAGTGCCGGCGCCTTGCGGAGCCTTAGAAAGCCCCAGTGTGTCCTCTAGTCTAGCCTTGCTTTCGCATTGAGGTGGGGAGCCTGAGCCCCGAGATGGAAGCCTTGCTCAGGGCCAGTCTTCACCCCCGACCCCTGCACTCTAATCACCCGTCACTGATGGCAGTTTAAAGGCTAGTCTCCCCTCTTCCTCCAGGACCCCTGCCTGCTGCCCTCTGAGTTGTCCTTGCTCCCCTTAACCTGAGGGCCCCTTCCGTGTGGCCGCCTGTGTAGCTAGCGAGTCCTTTCCCTTACTATTCACCCCCGTCCTTGGCCCTTGGTGGCTCAGGAGCTCTGTAGCCGGGAGCAGGTTCAAACATCTAGACTTCTTGAGTGAAGATGAGACGGGAAAGGCTAGGAGCCCACACACCACAGGTGCCTGTCGGTCTAGGCTTGGGGCGAGGGGGGCGCTGGCCTGGGGCTTTCTGACCAGCGCCTCCTGTCTGCCTCCTGCCGCAGCCCCAGGATGACTATTCGGTCCTGTTTGAAGACACTTCCTATGCAGATGGTTACTCCCCTCCCCTCAATGTGGCCCAGAGGTACGTGGTGGCTTGTAAGGAGCCCAAGAAAAAGTGATGCAGTCTGGCAGTCTCCTGCCGCCTCACGGGGGCATGCTACAAGACATTCTGTGAAGAAATAAATGTTCTTCCCCTTTGCCATGTCTCCTGGGTTCTCACCCCTCCCACAGAGGGCAAGTTGGGGAACTGGGGCCTCATTTGGTCCCAGCGGGCAGTTATTCTCTCTCTCAGCTCAGCTCTGCTTTTCTTCCAATAGGCACACTCCATGCAGCACAAGCTGTACTTTATTCTTGAGGCCCCTGTCGGGCCCCTCGCACACACTCCCTGGGGAGCGGTCCCATGAACACCACTCACAGCTCTGTGTGGAACTTGAGGTTGCAGCCTGCCATCTTCTCAGCGTAGTGGGCATCAAAGCGCTCATTCTGGGCCACAGTGAACATGGTTTTCCAGTCCCCCGTGATGCCTGGGGAGGGAGGCGGGGTTGGAAGGAGGGAGGCTAGAGGTCCTGGCCAAAGCAGAGGCCCCAAGTGGCCCAGGGCCAGCTCTAGCCGCTGCTCCCGCCCTCCCTCCCCAGCGCCCCTCCTGGTGGGCACTCACCTTTCCTCATGAAGGCGGAAATGTTGTGGTCCATGAGCTCCACGGGTATGGTGCTGTAGTTAGCCATGGGGTTCTTCTTCATCTCCTTGAACGACGTGTGCCGCACAATGTGATCCACCGTCTCCTCTGACAGGGGGCGGCCCACGAACTCCAGAATCTTCTGAATCTCCCTTTTGGGGTTCTAGAGCAGCAGGGGGGCTCTTCAGTGGAGGCTTGGGTTGTGTGTTGAACAAACAAAAGGGAGGCCCCACCCTAACGTCATGGCCACTTCCGACCCTGCTCCGGGACTCTGGTCCTTTGTACTCTGGCACTCCTGGGGCAAAATTAATTGCCTTCTGCCCTGTGATCTGTTAAGAAGCTGTGTCTGGCTCCTTAGGGTGAGGGCTCGGACAGCCCTCTGTCATTACTGGGCCCAGGGAGAAGCAGTAGCAGTAAATGGGTGATCAGTGACTGCACTTGGCACTGACTCAGGCGCTAGGAGATAAGGGCTGTACGGAGTGTGCTGTCCAAGGGGCAGCGTAGAGAGGTGGGTCTAGGACCCGCGTAGGGTCTGCCATAGGGAAGCGGGGCTTAGAAGGTCTTGGGACTCGCCCCTGTGCAGGGAAGTGGTAGCGGGGTCTCACCTCCTGCATGTCCTCGTAGAAGAGGTAGAGAACAGGGTGGGTGCGCCTCAGCTCCCACCACTCCCGCACGTGCTGGTACCAGGACCCATAGGACACTGGGGAAAAGGGCAGGGGACACGGACAGAGGTTGGTATTCGTTCCAGCTTGCTGCCACTCAGCTCACCCCCTCCTTCCTCCAGAGTCAGGCCCACCTTCCCCAGCCATGAACTTCTCCAGGAAGCTCTCCCAGGTGCCGGGCTCAGGGTACAGCTTGGCCATGCGGTAAAAGTGGTAATAGGAGACGGCCACATCCTTGGCGTTCCGGGCAACATAGATCACCTGGAGAGGCAGAAGACACACCCCGCACCGCACCGTCACCGCACAGCACAGCAGGCACTAGAGCAGCCATGGGAAAACTACGGCCCGCGGGCCAGGTCCGGCCCGTTTGAAATGAATAAAACTAAAAAAAAAAAAAAAAAAAAAAAAGACCGTACCCTTTTATGTAATGATGTTTACTTTGAATTTATATTAGTTCACACAAACACTCCATCCATGCTTTTATTCTGGCCCTCCGGTCCAGTTTAAGAACCCATTGTGGCCCTCGAGTCAAAAAGTTTGCCCACCCCTGCTCTAGAGGTTCTTTAAGCATCACATTCCACCCTCACAGCCTCCCTGCAAGGGGGGTTCTCTCTTGGTCTGGCCAAGAGGGAAACAGGCCTAGAGGCTGCCTTGGGTGTGACTGAGCTGGGATTTGAAGCCTGCTCTGATGCCAGAGTCCTGGCTGGTTCCAGGAACTGTATTTTATACTCATCCAGTCTTCTCAGTGCCACTGTACCGATCTGGAACAAGGCGTGCAGAATTCCCTCCGGCCCCTCCTCCACAGGCCTGTGAGCACCGAGGCCTGCAAAGTCTCGCTGTCACTGGCCATCTGACCCACCGGAGCATGAGGTTGAGGACTTCTCCCCGTTTAAGATGAGACCTTCGTAGAAGATGGGGCCAAAGCTGGGTTGGCCCCAGCTGCCTTTTTCTCTAGCTTCCATTGCCACTCACCTTAATCTTCTGGTCCAGCAGGGCCTGTGGGAGCAGAGCCAGGGGCAAGTGTGTCTTGAGGAGCCGTGGGGCTGGTGTATCTTTCAGAACCTCCATACCTAAGCCATGGATAGGAAAGGTCCAGTGAGCTGGAGCCCGGGCCCTCCCTCCCTCCACCTCACTGGCCTCCAGCACCCCACCACACACCTGTGGGACACCCTGGACCCTTGAACTCAAGGAAGGGCACCCGGGTTAAGATGGGAGCCCTCTGACACTTCTCCAAGTCGCCATCCTGGTAGATCATGTCCAGGATCTCACTCACCCAGGTGGTGCCTGGAGAGAAAAATGGGAGGTAAGCGGGCTGAGGGCACACCCCTGCTGGCCCGAGGTGGGGACTGCAGCCCAGGAGAGGGGTGCGTGGTCCTCATCACCTACCAGATTTGGGGTAGGTGCTGATGAGCAGGTCATCGGGCCTGGGTTGTAAGCTCTGCAGTGGCCCAATTGCCTCTGCAAAGTACTTGATGAGAGGCACCCCCTTCACATACTTCAGTGGCGGGCGGGAGATGTCCTGGACCAGCTCCATGCTGCCGAGTCAGGGTGCGCACTGGGGCCGACCTCCCTTAACAACATCACAACAATGTCTTCTGTTTAATTGCTTTAAGGTAAGGAAACAGGCTGAGCAACTTGCCTACACTCAGAGCCAGTCAGTGCTGGGCCGGATTCCGGCCGGGTCTAACACAGTGGGGCCACAACTCTGGAGGCACCTTGGATTTACCCGCAGAACTTTTAAAAATCCCAATGCCTGCCCAGATAGAGTGGCTCACTGGTTGAGCATCTACCCATGAACCAGGAGGACAAGGTTCCATTCCCCGTCAAGGTACATCCCTGGGTTGCCAGCTCCATCCCCAGTAAGCGGCGTGCAAGAGTCAGTCAACCAATGATTCTCTCATCATTGATGCTTCTATCTCTCCCTCTCTGTCCTCGCTCTAAAATCAATTTAAAAAATATTTATTTTAAAATCCCAGTGCCTGGGTCACACCCCAAGTTAATTAAATTGCTCTGGATTCGACCCAGGTACCTGGGTTTTGGAAGCTGACCAGGAGATTCCAGTGTGCACTTGAGAAAACTCCTACTCTGGGGCCTGCCAAGTGTTTTCTTTCAGTACTTGCTGCTGCAGCTCTGGATCTGATCCCAGTGGGCTCCTCCCCATCCTTCCCTCCTTGAGCTCCCTAAGCCCTCACATACAGAAACCTCCCCAAAGCCAACTGGGCCTGTGACCCAACTTGCTCAACCACACTCCATCTTGGCTCATAGAGAAACACAGCTGTAGGGCACGGCTATAGGGTTAAGCCTTGGACTTACCTGTTGACAAAGCCACAAACAAGTCCCAGCTTAGAGGGCACAGCCCTCTTAGCATAATTAAGCTTGACCTGATGATGCTCCCTAGATCCTATCTGGGTAATGGGCTGCAGGACTTGGAGCAAGTGCTGCCAAAACAAGTGAAACTCACAAGAACATTGTAACTATGCAGAACACTACCTTGTTTACCTCTGGCTATAGAATAAAGGCTCAGCTTGCCGTCTGGATCTCTGTGTGGCCTCAGCCAGACACAGGAGATCCACTAGACCCAGCTTATTCTCTTTGTCTGTCTTTTCTTTAATCCCTAGCCGCCCCGCCTCAGGCTCACCGAACCCTTGGCTGCGCTGGCCCAGCACATGTGGCGCCCAACGCGGGGCCTGAGTTCAGGGGAGCTATGGTTGTCAGGTGAAAGGATGCTCCAGTGAAGCCCGTGCAGAAAACAAGAAGGAAAAGTAAGGAGCGAAGCTTAGTAATAACGAGGTGTCAAACATGGGAAATTCAGGGTCACAGGAAAAGGATTTATACGTGTCCATGCTTAAGGTTATGCTCCACGCAAGGGGCTGTTCTGTGAGGTATCAACAGCTTTTCGATTTGTTGGATTTTCTAAGTAAAACCTGCCCATGGTTTCCTGGGGAAGGAAACGTAAATGTAGAGAAATGGGAGAAGGCAGGAAAACAACTTAGAGATTATATAGTTGAAGGTTCCGGGAAAATTCCTCTTTCTACTTTCAGTCTGTGGTCCCTGATTCAGGACTACCTAGAGCCCACTCCTGAAAGGGAATGGATGAATGTGGCAGAGGAACTGAGACGGACAGTGGAAGGTTACCAGAAGCTTAATATTGTCGCAAAGGCTTGTCTCTCACCTGGAGACTACTTATTGTGGAAGTATTTTATTCGTGTTTGTGCCGACATTGGACCAGCCTACGTTCAAGGAGCTGCCTCATTAAAGGAGATGTTACTCGCTGGTCAGCAGAAAAGGAAAGGGGGATGCTTTAACTATGGCAAACTAGGGCATTTTGCTAAAAACTGTAATGCTAGAAATGGAAGTCAACAGGCTACAGGGAGTGAAAACAAGCAGCCTGGACTATGTCCAAGATGCAGGAAAAGAAAGCATTGGGCAAATGAATGCCGCTCCAAGACTGATGTTGATAACTCAATCACCCCCTAGGCAGGGAAACTTTAAGCAGGGCCAGCCCTGGCCCCACCAAACAGTAGGGGTCTTATCCTTAACCCCACTGCAGCCTTTCCAGCTGGCTCAGTAAATTGTTATCATGCCACCCCGGGAAGCACAGGATTGGCAAGTTCTTCCTGGGGTGATAGATCAGGACTCAGGCAATAGCAGAAAGAGCCAATCCTACTCTTAAAATGCAACTATAAAAACAAAAAAAGGGGGAGAAGAATGTTATGTGTTAAATTTTTTGAATTACAATGCAGAGAGTTGTACAGCGGCTGAAAGGCATCGGGCCTCCTGTACAATAGCCGCTGCTGGGTTAGCCTGGTGGAAGGATGCACAAACCAGACAAGAGTTTTACCAGATCTAGTAATGCTCTGGGGAAGAGGTTGTGTTTTGTATCTTCCAGAAGGAGCAGTGCAGCCAATTTGGGTACCAGAGCATTACATGTGTCACCACAATGGACCCAGAGAAGCTCCTTGTCCCATCATTCAAAAGACTGAGAGTTGCCCCGATGACAGCAATACAGAAAAGGAAGATGACGAAGACTATGCAAGGGATCGAGGTGCCAACATGGGGTCAGCTGAAGAAGTTAAGGACTGAGGCCCAGCAGATGGTAGAAAAGCAAGAAGTGGAAGCTACTCCCTTAACCATGTTCCTGGCTTTGTTGGCATTTGTTAGCTCCCAGTCTTGCACAGCCAACTCCAAGGACTCTGAGTAAATCAACAAAAGAAACTTTCATTTAGTAGAAAAATGTTACTGTAGTTTGATTTCTCTATTATTGCTGTGCTGCATTGGCATTATTTTGTTAATAGCCAGAGCTTTGTTCTTGATGTTTAAGTTTTAAAATGTTAACATGTCTGTGGTTTGGGTTTTGCATTGGCATTGTTTTGTTATTGTTTTAATAGCCAGAGTTTTGTTCTTGATGTTTAACTTTTTCATTATAGTAGCTTAAAAATAAATAAGGGTGAGATGTAGGAAGCGGCTATAGGGTTAAGCCTCAGACTGACCTGTTAGCAAAGCCACAAACAAGTCCCAGCTTAGAGGGCACGGCCCTCTTAGCATAATTAAGCTTGACTTTATAATGCTCCCTAGATCCTATCTGGGTGGCTAGTGGGCTGCAGGAAGTGTAGCAAGTGCTGTCCAAACAAGTGAAACTCACAAGAACATTATAACTATGGAGACCACTACCTTGTTTACCTCTGGCTACCTGGATCTCTCTATGTGGCCTCAGCCAGGCACAGAAGATCCACCTAGACCCAGCTTATTCTCTTTGTCTGTCTTTAATCCTTCGCCGCCCCCCCTCAGGCTCACCGAACCCTTGGCTGTGCTGTCCTGGCAAACACAGCCAATTGAGCAACAGCTTGTTTTGGGAGCCATTCTGGTGTGATGAGCAAAACGTGCCTCAGCAAAAGAGGGAAGAGGGAAGAGGGACGGGTTTCAGGCCAGACTGGAGTTGGTATCAGACTGAGCTGGGATTTCCATGGGGAAAGGGCAGGGTCAGATTGAGCTGGGATTCAGGGGAAAGGGCAGGGTCAGTACAGGCGGGAATGGAGAGATCAAGCAGTGAGAGCGAACAGTGCAGGGTGAGGGAGGTCTGGCCCAGCCCACCATATGCTAGCACTCACCAGACCTCTCCAGACCTTGGCCTTGTGGCTCTCTGTTGTGCCGTCACATAGGTGAGTGCAGAACTGCAGAGAGCTGCAGGTTTTATAAGTCCAAACTGGGAGGGATTTGGAGCCACCACTGGGCCTTGGCTGTCTTACAGGAATGGGTGGGGTTTGGGATGGGGTTTGGGGTGGGAGGGCCCCTCTCGCTACCCTCATTAGCACCCCCGCTGAAGCCAAGATTAGACTAGCCTGAAAACCCAAGATGTGTGTTCAGTGTGTAGAAAATAAAAGACAGAAGCAACACCAAAGGGCCTAATATTTTGGTTTTTTGAGCTGTAATCCCAGCTTCTGGCTTGTACTCCAAACTCCAGCTCTGCAGGAGCCAACAGCTTTTTCTAATAAACGTGATCTCCAGAGGACAGAGGAGTGGAGGGGAAAGGTGGCCCCAGGCCAGTCTAAGGACCAAAGGTTCAGGTCAGGGGCAGCCCACAGGCAACAGGCAGCCCAGGCTGGAGTGATGTGGGTGGGTGGGTGGGTGACGGGGCTTGGGGCAGGGCACTGCTCAGCAGGCTCTCCTTGAGGCAGCATAGGATGGGAAAGAGCAAGAACACTGGAGGCTCATAACCCTCAGAGTGACCCCATTCCACGGTTCCCGTGGACCTCACTTGGGTGATGGGAGAACAGCCCCCAGAAGGTGCTTGTCTTCCCTTGGGTTAGAAGTGGGCTTGTCCTTTGTCCTTACTGTTTGGATTAAAGTCCAAAGTCCATCTGGGCAATGGAGGCCGGTGAGCTCTGAGTCAGGATGTGAGTCTCCAGGCCATCAAGAATGTGACCTCAGCCCAGCAGGTGTGGCTCAGAGGTTGAGCGTCGACCCAAGAACTAGGTCAGGGTTCAATTCCCAGTCAGGACACATGCCTGGGTTGTGGGCTCAATCCCCACTAGGGGCCCTGCAGGAGGCAGCCCATCAATGATTCTCTCTCATCATTGCTATTTCTCTTTCTCCCTTCCTTCTCTGAAATCAATAAAAATGTATTTTTTAAAAAATCAAAAGGAACTGTGATCTCAGAGGCAGGCCAGGAGAAAGCTGAGGCAGAAGGGCCTCCAGCAGAGGAGAGGCTGGTCCATCTGGGGTCAGTGGCCCCTCCCGCAGCCTCTCATCTCCTCGGGCCCCAGTGACTGGCAGGGCCTTTGCCCCCTAACTCCACACACACCCCAGCAAATACCGGAAGATGCCCTTAACTCAGACTTTTTATTGTACTCAAGTAAAAACTGCCCAGACACGAAGGCAGTGGCACGGGTAAGGAATGGGTGGAGGGCTGGGGGTGCTGAGGGTCAGATCTCCAGCATGTCTGTCCAGTGTTCCTGTGGAGACAAGAAGTGTGGTCAGAGGCAGCCCAGGGGATAGGCTGGGGCAGGGTCCAAAACACCTCTCACCTCTTCTAATTCCAAGTTCTCCTCTTCCTCCTCGGAGCCCATCCGGCACAGCCGGATCAGGTCTCCCCACAGCAGTGAGTTCTTGCAGCTACCGAGGGGTGCAGTTGGTAGGAGACAGTCAGATCACAAGACTCCTTCAGCCTAGGCCCTGGGTGCCAAGATGAGGACTCAGATGCCCTGGGCCTAGGCAGTGTCTTCACAGAGGTAAACCGGGCTGGGGGAGGGATGCTGGACTCACCCAGGGCATCGGCCCTCTAGGGGCAGAAGCTGCCCGGGCTCCTCCTGCAGGAACTCATCTGCCAGGCAGGTCATGTGGGCCCTTAGGGAGCAGCCAGGGTGGGGGCAACACAGGGGGCCTTCTTCATCCTGTCCGAGGGAGCAGGCAGGGAAGGGAGAAAATGGGGAGTAGTGATGTAACTAAAACTCAGAGAATTTCTATGGACCAGACACTGTTCCAGGGGCTTTACATCACCTATGAGGCACATACTACTCCTATCGGTATAATATAGATGAGGACACAGGTATGGAGGAGTTATAAAGCTTGCTCACGGGGACTAAGCTGGCCAATTCTCTCTGAGTATTAGCAGTGATTCTACAACAGCACGGCCACTGCAGCTAGACCTAGAGTTCCTTACAGGCTAAGTGATCTCCGTGGCTAATCTCTGAGTGGCAAGTACAGTCACGTGCCGAGTCAACGATTTGGTCAAGGACCCACATAGGTGACGTACGTCTAGCAAATAGCCTAGATGTGTAGTAGGCTACACCATCTAGGTGTGTGTAAGTGCACTCTGTGATGTTCACACCGTAAAATTGTCTAAAGACACATCTCTCAGAATGTATTCCCCTAGGTTAGCGGCATTAAGGTATGCAGTTCACTTACATTTAATGTGAGTGAAAGTCAGACCTGTATCTCAGTTAATATACTAAATATTTATTTACCACCTGCTCTGTATCACACCGTTCTACAGTACTAAATAAGAACCACCCTTGTGGAGTATAGTATGGGGGGGAGGGGGGTGAGACTGATAATAAAATAAAATAATAGTTGACCCCTGAAGAACACAGGTTTGAACGGGGTGGTCCATTTACACACAGATTTTTTCCCCCAATACACAGTGGGCCCTCCATATCCCTGGGTTTTGCATCTGCAGATTCAACCAACCACAGATTACAAAACAGTATTTTTGGTCCAGGGCTGGGAATCCACAGATGCAGAGGGCTGGCTGTTTGCACTGTTCTATACCATTTTATATAAGAGACTTGAAAATCCAAGGAGGTGGGAAGGTCCTGGAAACAATCCCCAATGGATACCGAAGGGGGGCTGTTGGGGGAAGTAAAAAGTTATATGTGGCTTTTTGACTGCATGGTTTCAGCACCCCTAATCCTCATATTGTTCAAGTCAACTGTACATGATGTTAGGCAATAAGTGTTAAGCCTTTAAAAAAAAAAAAAAAAAAAAAAAAGGAGCCCTGACGGTGTGACTCCGTTGGCTGAGCATTGTCCCTGCACCCAGAGGCTGCTGTTTGGATTCTGGTCATGGCACATGCCTGGGTTACCAGGTTGATTCCCACTAGGGGGCGTGCAGGAAGCAGCCTATGAATGTTTCTCCCTCTCCCTTTTTCTCTAAAATCAATACAAACATATTTTTAAAAAAGGAAAGCAGTACCAAGAAAGTTGCAATTGGAGAGAGAGCCAAGGAAGACCTCACGGAAAAGAGGTGGCATTTCATCAAGACCGAAGGTCTAGGGAAGAACTTTCCAGTGAAAGAAAGGCAAAGGTCCGGACAGGATTGGCCGCAAGTACTATGGTCCCCATTTTAGAGATGGAAGCAAGGCGGGCAAAGGCTGTCGGTGGGCTGCGCCATCCTCCAGTAGACAGCCTGGTCCTCAGTCATCTGAACGCCAGACCTGCCCCAGGTGGAGCCTCTCACCTGAAGCGCGCGCCCGCACAGGGTGCAGGGGGCCTCCGCGTCCTGGTCCGGCTCCGGCTCGGTGTCAGCAAAGGGACGGGCCGGACGCTTGGGGGCCAGCATCCGCGGTGGCGGAGGCCCGAAGGCTACCGGCACGTGAGGCGGGGGTGGCAGGCAGAGGTCCTGGCGGAAGTCGGCGCGCAGCCAGCGCAGGGTGAGCGGGAGGCGCGCCCAGGGCGGCGCGCGCAGCATGTGCGCCAGCACCCGCAGGTGGAACGCGAAGGCGGCCTCGCTGCGCAGGCGTGGTGCCACGTGCGCCAGGCGGCGCGAGGCCTGCGGGTGCTGCCAGGCCCACTCGAACTGCGGGCGGGAGGGAGGGCTTCAGGGCCGCCCCGGGAGGGCCCCGCGCCCCAGCCCATCTTCCTGCCGCCCCGTCTCCTTCCTTACCCGAAGGGCGGCCACGGCGGAAGGGAAGCCGTGCACTATGAGCACCATCTCCCTGGGGAAGAGAACGAGGCCGTGGCCCGTGAGAAGCCCCCGCCCCCACCCCACCCTGCTCCACCCGTGTCAAGCCCAATCCCCTCGCCACGGGTCGCCTTCAGTCCTGCCAGAGAGTGGAGTCCTCACCGCGGGCGTCAAGCCTCGTCCACGAGGCGCTGCCCTCCTTAGAGGCCCGCCCCTCGCACCTGCCTCCCCGGCTCCGCCCCCGGTCACAGGGGCTTAACTGCCTTCCCAGGTTCTATCTTCCAGCCCAGCCTGGCTCACCCATCCCTGTCGCGGGACCACGCCTAAACCATCAGTCCCCTTCCTAACATCCTAGTCCCACAGGCTCCTCCTCCCCAAGGCCCCTCCCCGGCCACAGGCCCACCCACCTCACCAGCCACCCCAAGGCCCGGCTCTCCGCGCCACACCGGCCCCGCCCACTGTCACTGACTCTGCCCCGGGCCCGCCGCCTCCCTGAAGCCCTCCTCTTGCGTGACCACCCCTCTTACCAGGGCCCGCGCCCGCTGGTCCGCCAGGCCCCGCCTTTTCTGCGGCCTCCGTTGTGCTGCTGCACCCGACGAGCCGGGTTAACGGTGAACCCCACGTAGACGCGGCCCCGGTGCCGAGGGTTCAGGCAATAGAGCAGGTAGACGCCGAAGAAGCACCCGGGCCTCGCCGCGCCCCCCTCGGGACCCATCAGGACGTGGGGGTTGGTTGCTGTGGCCTCTGAGTCGGGGAGGGTTGGGTTGCCAGGGCCGCCATACACTAGTCTGGGGAAAACCCCTGGTGGCGGCTGCAGCAGCGCGGGTTCGGGCACCCTCTCCCGGCTGGAGCCGCGGAACCTCGGGCGGCGGCACCAATGAGCGTCGGCGGGGGCGGAGCCCGGCCTGCGCAGGCTCTGATTGGCTGCCGGGCGGGCGGCAGGCGCGGAACGCGGGCGGTTGGAAACTGGGTTTCCGTGAGGGCGGAAGTGCTGGGCGCACGGACGCCTCAGTAAGGGCGGAAGTAGAGGCCTCAGCAGAAGTGGCAGCAGTGAGGGTGGAAGCAGCGCGACCCGCGTGGGATCGGGGGTTCTGCCCGCGCCGGGCCGCCCACGCCGGCCGCCATGGAACTCAGCGCGGAGCACCTGCGGGAGAAGCTGCGGCGGGACCTGCAGGCAGAGCACGTGGTGAGCGGCGCGGCCCGGACCTGCCCGGCGAGGGCAAAAGGCTTCTGGGTGGGCGGCTTGGCACCATCCTCATGATTCTGCCCCTTAGGAGGTGGAGGACACGACTCCCAACCGTTGCGCGTCCAGCTTCCGAGTCCTGGTGGTGTCGGCCAAGTTCGAGGGGAAGCCGCTGCTCCAGAGACACCGGTGAGGCCCGAGGCCCGGGAACCCCTCTCTCAGCGCTGTCCCGGCCCCACGGCCCCGGCCCCACGGCCCCCCGGGACCCCGCAACCCAACTCCCTGGCCCGGCAATGCGGCCCAGCCCTGTGGGCTACAGCCCCAAGGACTTCGCCTTCTCGGCCCCCGCTCGGGGTATTGAGGCTTAGGCCCTCTACCTCTCCTGTCCCAGGTCCTGGGCGCCACAACTTGGGGACACCTCCAGCCTTCTGGGTCAACCTAGCTTCGAGGACCGACTTAGGCTCGCGGTTTCCTAACAACGTCTCTCCCGCAGGCTGGTGAACGCGTGTCTAGCAGAAGAGCTCCCGCATATCCATGCCTTTGAGCAGAAAACCCTGACCCCAGAGCAGTGGGCCCGTGAGCGTGAGCGGCAGAAATAAGAGACCAGCACCTGCACAGCCATTAAATTATGAATCGGGGCCAGCTTCTGTGTTGGTGTGTTGTGTGTGGGAGGGGCACTGAGGCTGTCTAGAGCCTGGCTTCTCCCTGCCCTGACATTCTTCGTTGTCTCCTCATTGTTTTAACTTGGGCAAGTCCCTCTCCGCCCAAAGGCCTCTGTGTCCCCACTTTTAAAGTGAAAGTTCAATCCTTGAAATCCCTTTCAGGACAGGCCTCACAGGCCTTTTCTGTAATGCTTCGAAGAGTCCTACTAACCAACCACCTATTTGTGGACAATTGCTGGGTGTTCCTGCCCTCTGCCAGCCTTCAAGATGCAGAGATGAGCCCTGGCTGGTGTGTTTCGGTGGTTAGAGCATGGGCCTGCAAACCAGTGGGTCCTGGGTTCAATTCCCGATCAAGGGCATGTATTTGGGTTGCAGGTTTTTTTTTTTTAATATATTTTATTGATTTTTTACAGAGAGGAAGAGAGAGAGATAGAGAGTCAGAAACATCGATGAGAGAGAAACATCGACCAGCCGCCTCCTGCACATCCCCCACCGGGGATGTGCCCGCAACCCAGGTACATGCCCTTGACCGGAATCGAACCTGGGACCTTTCAGTCCGCAGGCCGACGCTCTATCCACTGAGCCAAACCGGTTTCGGCTGGGTTGCAGGTTTGATCCCCACCCCGGTCTGGGTTCAGGAGGCAACTAATCGATGTGTTTCTCTTACATCTATGTCCCTTTCTTCCCTCCCCTGAGCCCTTCCACTCTCTAATCAATGACCAAAAAATCCTTGGGTGAAGATTAACAAAAATGCACAGATGAGAAAGTGCTCGGAGTTTCAGGGTGCTGGCCAATTTAACAAACCTTTCCCTCTCACCAACATCACCCCAATGTCAGAAGCATAATAGAGGATTCCACACTTCCCCTGCAGGTTCCCACAGGGACATGGTACCCCAGCAAGGGCTCTTCAGCAACTGGGATGCTGATGTTTTCTGACTCACTGGAGAAGGTCCAATGACCTTTTAGCCCTGGGCTTGGTGTGGCCAGACCCCCTTGAGAAGACCATGTGGTTTTCTTTTTTCTTTAATAGTTTTATTGATTTTAGAGAGGAAGGGAGAGAGAAACATCAATGATGAGAAAGAATCATTGATCCATTGCCTCCTACACGTCCCCTCCCCCCACTGGGGATCGAGCCCACAACCTGGACATGTGCCCTGACTGGGAATAAAACCGTGACCTCCTGGTTCGTAGGTCAACACTCAACCACTGAGCCACACTGGCCAGGCACCATGTCGTTTTCAAGAATGGAGGTGTGGGCAGAGGATATGAATAGGGGTAGAACAGGAAAATAAGGCCAACCAGAGCCACTAAATAGGGACAGGTGATGCCTCTAGTATCAGCTTGAACACAAGTACCAGGATTGGTAAGGCCTTGCACGTGAAGTCCCTGAGACCTAGTGGGGCCAGGGCTCTTTGGGAATATGGATTACAGATTTCAGCCATTCCACCCACTCTGTTCCCCTGTGTTTTCAAGGCCAGTGTCTTGGCCCCTAAATTATCTCCCCTCCTCCTCCACCCCCATCTCCTTCTCTTGTTCTTGAGAATGGGTTGGAAACCTGGAAGTCGGGGTGATGCCAGGTGAACCCTTCTGGGTTCCCAGATTCTTTCCTGAGCTGTTTTTCAATTCTCCCGGGCCAGGAGGACAGCCAGTGACAAGCCATTCAGAAGGGCCTGTCCCCATTGTACAGGAGAGGCTCAGAGAAGGCACCTCACCTTCCATAGGCCCAGAGTTCAGATTTCTGGATTCTGTCACACCCCTGATTGGGTCCACCACTGTGTTCACAGGATTGTGGGATCCCTCCCCAATTTATTGGAAAGAAGTAACGGCTTGCTTAGAGGGTGAGACCAAAATGGGCAGACAGGGACAATCTTACGGCTGCCTCACTGCTCTGCCCAGGTGGTTTTCTCTGGCATGCTGAAGAGGGAGAAGGGGCAGCAGATGGGCACCGAGTCCTCACTGCCCCTGTGTGGTATGAACCAAACTGCTGTGGCCAGGATACCTACTCCTCATAGCCTGTGTCCCAACTCAGGGGTCACCTGCTAAGGTGGGTGTCAAACCCACTCCCAAGCCCCCACTTGATGGAGCCTGACAGGTTATTCAGGTCCCTGCCTCACAGGCCAGGCCCAGGCGAGACCCACAGTAAGGGCTCGAGAGGCAGCAGCCCTGCGCAGGAAGGCTCCAAACTAGGCAGGGAGACAAGTCATGACTCAGGACCTGCCCTTCAACTGCTCGGTGCCTCAGTTTCCTCGCCTGTAAACTAGGGTTGGGCCTGGGCTTTAGTTCTAAGCTTTCTCCTTACAAAAGGACCCCTCGGGCCTACAGTTTGAAAGAGGTCCTGTAGGAGCTCGTTGTTTCGTTTCCCCACAAGCAACAGTGATGTTAGTGCGTTACATGTAACCTGATGTGGTTAACTAGAAAAGGCAGCTTTGGGGTAAACGTGGGAGTTACTGAAGCCCCGGGCTAGGGCCTTGAGTAGCTCACACCTGCCAGCTGCAAAACACCCCCAAACCACACCAGAATGGGCTGCTCCCCCCACCAGACCTGTGGTTTACTCCAGAGCATTTGGAAGCATCCCTCGGCCCCTGCCATGGGCCAGTCCCATCAAGGCTTCTGAGGGGGGAGTTCAGACTCAGCACTCAGGCACACAGTCATCAGAGTCTGAGAGGTACCAGAAAATAAAGCCATTTTATTTTATCTGCCACTGTGGCCTAAGGAGTGGGAGGAAAGGGGGGGCGGGGGAGGCGATGCGGTGGGCCCCAGCTGAAGGCCCCGGAGTCTCTACTTGGCCAGGACTGTCTCCTCCAGCCTATCCAAGCGCTTCTGGAGCTCCTGCACCGTGGCCTGGAGCTTCCTCACCTCCTCCTCCAGCCGGGACACGACGTCCTGGAGGATCCAGCGCTGTGTTAGGCCCGCTCCACCCTGGACTCCCCTTACCCTGGCCGAGAGCCCCAGAGCTTGGGCCCTCTGTCTCTCAGCCAGTTGCTGCCCAGAGAGCTGCAGGCCTACAAGCCTGAAAGCTGCATTCTGAGGCCTCAGGATTACCCACTGGCAGCCCCTCCCTACCCTGTCTTCCCATCCTGACTCCAGCCTCCCATCCGCCTCTCACCGAGCTTGGAGTGCCACTGGCCTCTGGTGCTGTCTTCCTGCGCCCAGTGTCCAGGCCCCGGTTGACCCTCAGCTCCCGGCTCTTTGAGGGCACGTAGCCATCCTTGAGGGAAATGAGGAGGGGCCCAGCATCCCGACCCCCCAGCCACTCCTCGGCCGTGAGGGCAGCGTCAGGCCCTGCAGTGGGCGGATACAGGTCCTCCTGGAACAGGTCCGACTGTGGGCAAGACCAAGGCTGGTTAAGAGCGTGCTTAGGCCACACCACCACCCTGCAGCTCTGCAAGGTGTGCCCAGCCCAGAGCCCAGGGAGGGTATGGCATCACCTTTCTAGGCACTGTCATGGCGATGGGCTCACACTTGCGCTCATGCAGCTTGTAGAACCTGTGGAAACAGGAAGGTGAGCAGCGCCCGCAGCACAGCTGGGCTGAGACTGAAGGTCAGCCTGAGATCAGCGCTGCCCAAGGAGCATGCTCAGGTCAGGGTCAGGGAACAGTCACCTGGCGATCTCACACTTGTTCACCTCCAGGCCGCGTTTGGGCATGTAGCCCATGCCACGCTGGGACTCCTTGGAGCTGAACATGGAGAGATAGTGCAGGAACGGGGCCTCGGAAGTGATCTCGAAGTACCGGATGGAGCTGTCACCCTGCGGGCGGAGGGTGCGAGGGGAGATCAGCACCGACAGGGGCCTGCAGCCGTGCTCCTTCCCGGCCCCTCTGCCCACCTCCCTCCCCTGGCCCCCGCCCCACTGGGCCACCTTGCCACAGAGGTAGACGATGTTGGTGTCGGGGTCAAAGAAGGGCAGCAGGACGCCGCTGCTCGTGTCCAGCTCCTGCAGGGACAGCGGCTCCTCCAGCTGCTTCTGTAGAGACGGGTGGGAGAGAACAATGAGCTGGGCCACGTCAGGCCCCGGGCGGAGCCCTTCACTGGGCAGTCACCGGGTGGGGGTGACCCTTACAGACCAACCAGTGGAAACCCCCATCGCAGGCGGGGAAACGGGCCGTGGTCATAGGGCGTGGGCTTGGCAAGGCCGGGACTAAGCCTCCAGATTGTCTGCGCTCACCGTGTCCCACAGCGCCACCTGCCGCTCGCTCATGCGGCTGAAGCCCGTGGTCAGGATCTTCCCGTCAGACACGAACACGGCTCGCACCGGCCGGGTCCCCTCGTGAGGACGGTCCTTCTCCTGGGAGGGAAGGGATGTGGTCGGCCAGGCAGGGGCAAGAGAGGACCGCATCTAGCACCCCGGTTGTGGTGGGTAGGAGGGGTGAAGGTCCCTGGGTCAAGGGTCACACAGTTCATTGCAACTCACAGCTACGACAGTGCCTTTGCGGGGCTCGATGAGGCGCACGCGCTTGTCGCGGCACGAGGTGCAGATGAGGGCGCCGTCCCGGCTCCAGTCCACGCTGTAGATGGTGTCCGGGTGCACATCCGCGCCCAGGGTCAGCACTGCCGCCCCGGTGCCCACGTCCCACACCAGGATCACGTTGTCACAACCTGGGCAATGCCCCCCGTGTCAGAGCCATGAGCCGCCCCCTCGCTGTCAGAGGCCAGACCCCCCCCCGCCCCTCCCCCCAGGCACCTGCACTGAGCAACACATTCTGGGCTGTGGGGTGCCAGGCAATGATGCCCACGCGCTTGGTGTGGCCCTCCAGGGTGACGACAGGCTCCCGCATGGGCAGCACCAGGCCCCCATCGGGGATCTCCCATACCTGCAGAGAAGGGGCGCGTGAGTTGGGCACTCCACATGTCAGATCCTGACCTGGGGCCCCCTCCTCACCGGTAACCCCACCACCACTCACCATGACTGTGCAATCTTCTGAGCCACTGGCAATGACGTTGTCATTGTGCGGGCACCAGGCGATGTCCAGCACGGGGGCTGTGTGGCCACAGACCGTGGGCACATTCTTGTCCACGCGTCCAGTCTAGAGGGCACAGCAGGGCCTCAGGGAGGTGCTTTTGCCCTCCAAGCCCAATCCAACCTCCCCACAGCCCTTCAGAGAGGCACAGAGGGCAAGGCCGCAGGAGCCCGGGAGGCGGAGCAGGCCAAGGGCGGCAGGAGTTGGTCTCCTGTTTGCCCGAGGCCAGAGTTGTCAGGGCAACTCAGAAGGGCCGGCCTGCAGGGCCACAGGAAGCACAGTTTGGGGTGTGGGGCTGGTCCTGCCTGCTGTCAGATCCTGGCAGATTCCTCCACCTCTATCTCAGTTTCTCATTTGTGCCCTGAGGGCCCCCGCCCCTACCCCACATCCCTGAGTGAGGCTTCCAGGCACACAGGCCAAGGCCGGGGACAGGGGTGGGGAAGGGGGCGTCCATTGCATTGGGCTGAGCGTTCCCCAGGCAAGTGTGTGAGAATGGTGGGGCTGTGGGCATGGGCCCTTCTAGGAGAGGGACCGGGAAGTCTGTCATAACGGCCCCCAGACAGGAGCAGAGGTTTGGAAATGGCCACTTCCGGGGACAGCTGTGCAGAAGGGCTTCCTGCGTGAAGAGCAGGCCCGGCTCTCACCCTGACAACCACTTCCTCTTCTCTTTGCTTCCATCGGCCCTTTTTTGGTAACAACTTAGGGCCCATCTCCCCTTCCTGCGTCACCCGCTAGAGCACAGCAGTGTGCTGGGAGTCGGGGTCAGCAGACAGCAGGGCGGGGGACAGGAGAGGGCCCTCTATATCATCCCTGCCCGGGGGCTGGGGCCTGAACTTGCTGGGTCCCCAAGGGCTCTGACAGGCCCAGACATGGAGTGCCCCCAACTCTAAGAGCACTGCTGGGCCTGCCCAGACCCCAGCCCATCCCTCTCTGTGCTCCTGAGGGGAGAAGGCCCCAGGCTGAGACTTGGGAGACCCTGTCTCAGGACTCACTGTCTGATCCTTCTCATGCTGTCTCCCCTCTGAGACTCAATTTCCATTCCTTTTTTAAAATATATTTTTATTGATTTCAGAGAGGAAGGGAGAGGGAAAAACATCAATGATGAGAGAGAACCATTGATTGGCTGCTTTCTGCACACCCCCTACTGGGATTGAGCCCCAACTCGGGCATGTGCCCTTGACTGGAATCCAACTTGGGACCCTTCAGTCCACAGGCCGACGTTCTATCCACTGAGCCAAACCAGCCAGGGCTCAATTTCCATTTAAGAGCTGGCAAAAGCTTAAAGCTCATTTAGCCCAGCTCAGTTTTATTGATGACAACACTGTGGCCCAGGGAAGCTTGGTGACCGTCACCTAATCAGGACCACTCAGGGGGCCACTGGATGGCCAGATGCTCACCTTGCCCAGGGGCAGCACCAAGAAGGCCCCTCCTCCGCTGGCTTCACAGATCAGGGCCACAAACTTGGGGTTGACAGCGCAGAAGCCACTGTCCCAGGTGGTCTGTGACACGCGTACATCCTCATAGCACTGATCGGCCTTGGCCGGTTGTCCAAACACGTGGCGGAACTTGCTGGAGCGGACCACCTGGCGGCTCATTCTGGGGGAGGCAGGAGAGGGGGGGCGGGGGGAGACAGAGGTTGAGAACTTTTCTCCCTTCAGGCCAACTGTGACCTACAGTCCCTGTCTCCCCCAGGAACCCTCAGCCTGACATTTAAGGTCACAGCTAACTTCCCCAGCAGCAACATCCGGGACTCCCCGCCCTGGCTCTGGGTAACTGACATCCTGCTACCCTCGCACTTCAGCTTCTGCACCCCTCTCCCAGCTAACCTGCAAGGCCCACCTTCTCCACACCCCTCGGCTCTTGCTTCTGCAGCCCCGAGCCAGGGCCTTGCAGCAGAGCCGGCTGGGGGCAGCACCTACTGCGCTTTGTCAGGGACTGGCTGATGGACAGAGCTGCTCTCCCATGGCTCACACGGGGGGCTCCAGGGCAGACAGTATGGAGAGGGTTTTTCTCTCAGCCTCAGCATCCAGCCCGCACGCCCCTCACACCCACAGGGGGAGCCTCCTCGCCTCCTGGCACAGCGTGGACACACGGAGGGACTAGCACAGGGGCCTGCCCAGGAGCCAGCTCTCTGCTCTCCGGTGTCAGGATGGCTTCCCCAGCAGGTCTCTGGGCACCACAAATGGGCAGATGGCCTGTGTCTGGGTTTCTCCTCCTCCCACTCCTCTGCCTCGCGCCTCCACTTCAGCAGGTGCCCCGAGTGCCATCTCCCCCGCACCCCTCCAAACACACACACACACACACACGCACACGCGCACACACGCACACACGCACACTGGAACTCCACACAAGAAGGGAGAGGCGGCCGACTTCTCTGAGGTCCAGCTGGGATGGTTTCCCCCGTTGTCTGGGCAGAGAGCAAGTGAAGCGGAGGGGACCGCCTCTGGCTCCCCAGGTACCAGAATGGGGTTCCTGGGGAGGATGGGGGCCGTGCTGCCTGGTGGGAGGGCCTCTAGCTGCTCCCCAGCTTCTCCAGGTGCCCCACTCTGGGCCTGGTCCTTCTCTGCGGCTCCAGCGCCCTCGCCCACCCCGTGCCTCCCCGGAGGCTGTAGTGCGCAGCGTGCCTGAGGGTGTGAGAAGCAGGCTGGGGCAGGGGGGTCAGTCCAGGTGAGAAGCCTGGGTTTGGGGAGCAGGAACCCCCAAACCGGAGGTTGGAGGACAGGAAGCCATCGCCCCACCCTGCCTCCTCCCCCACCGCAGGTACCAGGCCCAGAACCCGCGGAAAGGGGAACTTGGTCTTTTCTTGTTTTGCTCGCAACCCCTTCCTGTCTCCCAGCTCAGAGCAGCTGCTCGCTCACCCCACCCTGCCCCCACCCCACCCAAAGGCTCCCTTTCTGGGGAGAGCCGGGGCCCCCCACGTGTCCTGACCCCCCACGTCCATCTCGGCCGCCGTGGCCCCTCGCCCTCGCCTCCCCGCGGAGCTCCGGGGCCACAGATGGACCCTCCCACGCGCACCCACGCCCGCAGGCGCGTCCCTCCCGCAGGGCTCGGTCCCCATCTCGGCGCCAGCGCCCAGTCCGTCCGCCCCCGCAGCGGCGGTGCCAGGCGCCCGCCGCCCCACAGGTGGCCGGGACCGCGATGCCCAGTCCCTCCCGGGACAGGCCCGCAGGCTTACCTGCTGCGGAGACCTCCCCGGTGGAGGCGGGCGAGAGGGAGGAGGAAGCGCTGGGGGAGCCGGAGACGGCCCGCTGAGGATGCTCTTGTCAAGACAATGAATGAGAAGCCGGGCCGCCCGCCTCCTTAGGGTGGCAGCGCCCCTTTGGGCGGAGCTCCGGCAGGACCCGGCCCTTCCCTCCGCGAGCGCCGCCCCGCCCGCCGCGCCCGCCCGCGCCCGTCGCTGCCAGCTCCCAGCCTGACAAGCTCATCCGCACTTTTTAATGTCAAAATGCACAGACACCCCGCTCCTTCCCCGCCTTCAGCCTTCTCCCGGCCGCCTCGCCGGCCCTCCCTTTGTGCGGGCCCCACGCCCAGCCCGCCACCCCGGCTGCCTCTCCCCGCCGCGGGGACCAGCGGAGCCCGGCCGAGGAGGGGGCCCTGCGCCCACCTGCGCCGGAGGCCCGGCTTGTCCAGGCTCCTGCGCTTACAAATGGGTGGCCCTGCAGGAGCCCCTGAGCCTCGGCTCTCATGTCTCCGTGGACGAGCACTCTGCTCTGCCTGCCCGGGGGGTGGGGGGGGGGATGAAATAATTTGGCACAGGAGCCCCTCCTTGTGCAGGGCTAACCGGTGAAGAGCCGCTCCTGCCCCAGGGGGCGCTCAGGCTACTGGAAGGAGAGGAGCAACTAGCCCCAAGGGAGCCAGGCGGGCAGAAGCCTGGACTTCAGACTCAGAGGGAGGAGGCCTTGTCCCATTCTTGGCCTCAGAGGCCACGTCCCGAGGGCAAGGAAGGCCTGCTCCCGCATCAGAGGCTTCATGAGTTTGACTCCACTGTCACACCTGCTGAGTGACCTTGGGCAGGTTGCCTAACCTCTCTGAGCCTCAATTTCTCCCTCTATAACAGAGTAATACTCACCTCATGAGATCACGGGGACAGGAAGCCTTATGCGTCCCATGTGGAGTGGGCAAGTGCTTACTAAATGTTCCTCTTATCACTATTGCTGTGTACAGGGTATTGGACCAGGAGCTGCAAGGACGAGAAAGAGCCAACAGGCCTGACGACAGAAGGTCTTGCAGGCCGAGGGGCAGCCTGAGCAGAGGTCCCAGAACATGAATGTCAGGGGATGGATTCAAATCCTGCCGCCGCCACTGACGGGCTTTTTTTCACTAGTATAATGTTTTGAGATTCATCCATGTTACTGCATGTCCGATAGGAATTTTTATTTTACCTAAGCACAATACCATTATGTCATAGACAAATATACCTTAAAAAATTAGTGATGATTTCTTCACATCATCTAATACCCAAGTCATGTGCAAATTTCCATGATTGCCTAAAAAAAGAATCCAGTGGTCAATCTTAACATCACCAAAAGTAGGACAACCTGACATTATGTGCCTCTGATAAAATGATGCAATAAGTATGTAATAGTACCTTTTAGTGTTATTACCAAAATCACTATCATAAGCATCATCTTGAATGTAACCAAGCCTCTAGATCTAACTACTGGTTTATAGTGAATAAGGAAGATAGAAGGACACGTTAAATAATACCACAAGGAAGCAATTAGCTAAATCTAGAATGTGGGAAATGTTATAGGACAAATGACCTAGCGTCAACAAATAAATGGCATTAAGAGAAAAAGGGGGAGATATTAAAAGAGTTTAACAAATATATCAACCACTGTGAGGTGTAAACCTTCTTTGGATTCTTATTTAAACAAATCAACTGTAAAAGGAGATTTTTTTTTTTTTAAAGAATTTTTGTGAGTTTATTTGAGTCAAACTGTCGACACATGCCGGGAAGCAGAACCTCAACGAATTGAGATAGTGCTCAGATTTTTTAAAATATATATATTTTATTGATTTTTTACAGAGAGGAAGGGGGAGGGATAGCGTTAGAAACATCTATGAGAGAGAAACATCGATCAGCTGCCTCCTGCACACCCCCCACTGGGGATGTGCCCGCAACTACATGCCCTTGACCGGAATCGAACCCGGGACCCTTCACTCCGCAGGCTGATGCTCTATCCACTGAGCCAAGCCGGTTAAGGCTAAAAGGAGATTTTAAAAATTAAGATTATCACTTACAACCAAGAGTCCTAGCCCCTCGGTGCTGCACTAACATTCCATCACTAAAGAATCTTAAAAGCCCTACGAGGCATTTTATCGTCCCTTTTCACAGCCAGCAACATCGAGGCTCAGAGGAGAAAAACAACCTACCCCAGGTTCAACTACAAGTCTGCCTGCCTCTGAAACCCTGAGTCCATTCGGGGGTCCAGGTGACCTCTTGAAGCCGAGGTGTGCACAAAGGCGGAGAGCAGCGGAGGCAGGAGGGCGATCGGGGGCTGAAGCCTCGTAGACAGTCCATAGATGTTAGTGGACTGGATGGATGATGTTACGTGTAAACTGCGTCTTGAATAGGAGTTTGCCGGGCAGAGAGGGGAGGGGAAAGGGAGAAAAGTAATTCAGATAAAGGCCACGACTGGAGCCCCACGTGCTTGGCATGAAGGAGGACGGGATCGAGCTGGAAGACCAGCAGGAGGCAGATCATGAGAGGCCGCAGCCTGTGTCTTCCTTTTTTCTTTCTTTCTTTTTCTTTTTTTTTATAGAGAGAGGGGAAGGGAGGGGGAGAGACAGAGAGAGAAACATTGATTGGTTGCCTCCTGCAGGTGCCCAACCAGAGGCCGGGGGATTGAGCCTGCATCTGAGGTAAGTGACCAGAATCAAACCCGAGACCCTTCAAGTCCTCAGGGCAACACTCTAACCACTGAGCAAACGGCTCGGCAGCCTGTGTCTTCTGAAGGGGTTTGCTCCCATAGGCAAGGAGCAGCCCACACAAGTCTCTAAGTAAAGAGGTGTTAGGGTCTCAGTGCAAGAGGTTACAGGCCTTCTCTCAGCTGTGATCTTCCATCCAACTGCAGGCTCGCCCTGACCCACACTCAGGAAGCAATCCCAGGCTTAAGCAGGAGGCACCGAGGATGCCATGTCCCCAGGCTCAGGCCTCAGTCAATCATATGAGCCACTGCTCACTAGCCATCTACCTCGGGCTGCCTTCCTCACTTTTATGAGATGATCATGGCTTCTATTTTATGGAGAAAAGAGATGAGAACGCTTTCAACCCCTCTTCTCCCACCAGCAATAGCATCCCCTCTAAACAGCCATTCACTTTCATCACAGAGGAGGTGTTCTCCTTGGGCCCATCGCCCTTTCCTCCTCCTTGGACACATCCCTTCCCACCTCCTCAGTGAGCGCGCTCCGTCACGTGCCCTTTACCTGTACTGCCAGCTTCTCCTCGCCACAGACCCTCTCTCTTCTGTATATAAAAGCAAGCTTCAAGCCTAACTAATGGACACAGACAGCAGGGGGCTGAGGGCATGAGTTGGGGAGGTCGGGGGGGGGGGGGGGGGAGGAGGGGGGCGGTTATGGTGGGATAAGGACACATATGTAATGCCTTAATAAAAAATAATATAAAATAAAATAAAAATAAAAGCAAGCTTCAGCCCCCTTTGTCTTGGGAGAGCCTCCCTCAATGTGGCAACCTCAAACCACTTCCCTCTCGCACTCTTGCCGTTCACAATCGTTTTTCACAATCGTTTCTCGAAAGAGCTGTTTACACGCCCTCCACTTCCGCGTTTCCTACTTACTCTTCCGCCTACATGAGTCTGGCCCCTGCTCCTTCCCCTCCACGCAGACTTGCCCCCGCAAGGCCACCCATCACCTCCTGAGCAGTGCCCGGAAGAGCACGTTTTGGTGATAATCTGATGCTACTGCCTGCTCGCCCTCCGGAGCCATTCCTTCCTTCGGCATCTGGGCCCCGCTCCTCTCCTTTGCCCTGCAGCTCGCTCGCTCTCGATTCCCTGCTGAGCGTCCTCTCTCTGCTTCACACGCTTTGTGCGGGGAGCTCCCCAGGACTCCACCCAGACTCCCCACACCACCCCACCCGCATCCCAGCTTTAACTACACACTTTGACGGCCCTACTCTGAACTGCGGCCCAGATCTGCTCCCATTCCTCCCTCGTTCTGACTGCCAACTGTATGGCTCCACCTGCATGTCCCTTTAGCACCTCGGGAGGGCCTCGCAGAGAAGGAAGTCTTGACCTTGAATCTCTCCCTTCCTCTCTCCGTGCCCACCAGCACTGCCTGAGCTGTGTTGCTTGGACCACTGGCTCCCTGACTTTCCTCTCGTTCATCTTTTATGGCGTCTCTAGAGTCGCCTTCTGGTCTTACTAGGGCGACCTTACAAAACCCGACCAGCTCCCGCAGGAGGAAGTTGAAACTCCCATGGCACGGTGTGCAAAGCCCCTGATGATCCTCCCCCAGCCACCCGTCGGGCCTTGCTGCTCCTTCCCCAGCGCACCAAGCGCCCTCACTCCTCTGGCGCCGAGGCTGAGCCCTCGGATGTGTACAGGGGAAGGGGAGAGGTGGGTGTTGCGGCCACCTGTTGTGGAGAAAGCCGCTCTGAAACAGTGACTTAAATGGACAACCACTCCATTATCTCTCATTATCATCTCACGGGACGAGGCAGGTACACGAGTAGTTGATGTGGGCAGATGAATTATAACGGGAACTGCATTTGGTGGTCATGCAGAATGTGGGCCTTGTGTAGCTAAACCTGGTTTTCCAAGATGTTACAAATATGGATTTTTTATATGAAAGTTCCAGATCTT